CAGGGTACCCAATGAATACACACTCCCGACCGCGCTCGTCAAATTTATCGAGGTGATGACGAGTGTCTTTGGCAAAGTCTAGGCACCCAAACGTACACAAATACACATAAGACGGCGGGCGACCATACAAGCTCTCGAAAGGAGACTTATGGTGAGAAAGAGATGACGATAAGCGGTTGATGAGATATATTGCTGTCAAGACACACTTACACCAAAACTTGAGAGGTAAGTGTGCTTGAAAACAAAGAGCACGTGCCGTCTCTAGAATGTGTCGATGCTTGCGCTCGACTATCCCGTTCTGTTGCGGCGTATCCACACAAGATATCTGAAATAGAATTCCTTCGCGCACATAATAGCTGGATTGTCTGGAATTCAAGGTTGTTATTAGCCTGAATACGCTTAATGATAGCCCCAAACTGGCGCTTAACCTGTTGACAAAATAGCTCAAGATATTTCCCAAATTCAGACTTGAATTTCATCAAATAAACCCACGTACCACGTGTAAAATCATCCACAATATTCAAAAAATTATGAGCACCGCTCAACGAGGCTACCTTGTAGCCGCCCTAAATATCCACATGGATTTATTCAAAAGCCCGACTACTACGAAAAGAACCACTCAACGGAAAAGGAGTTTCGAGACTGTTTTGCTCGCAAACATGAAGAGCAAGAGTCTGTTCGCAACTGAATAGAACTAAAAATAAATTGCAACTGATTCAGCTTCTCCGGGGCTGGATGCCCAAGACGAGAATGCCAGAGCTTGATCGTCTCCTCCGCTCGCGTCGCACAAACAATAGCCCGCCGAACTGGCTCGAACAAACACAAGTAGTAGAGATTGTCGCGTTTCTTACTCATCCCAAACAGATTCTTGGAGTGTAAATTCTGAATAAAAAAGAAATCCCCCAAGAAAATCAACGCGAGAGGAAAGTGTTTAGTGAGCTGACTAACCGAAAGAATGTTGCATTTAAATTCCGGAACAAGTAACACCCGAGGAAGTATCAACCCATTGCCTGACCGAACAAAACCAACACGACGAACATTAATAGCACCCCCACCGGGGACGCAGACAACAAGTCTCGACGCATGAGAACCACAAGACAATAGGCTAGCATGCTTTGTAATATGTTGGTTACATCCAGTATCAATAACCCATTCGGCAGTGGAGGAAGAAGAAGTACATGTCATCTTGCCAACCTCATCGAGCTGACCCTTCAATTCATCACTAAGAAAGCTCTTGAGACTTTCGAATTGCTGAACAGTGAGACCGGGAATGGGGCTTTCAATGAGAGCAACCTGTGCCCCTTTAGGCCCATTACGAGGATGCTCTGGAGCCTTCTTGCGGCTGCCTTTCTCGGGCTTAGAGATAGACTTCTTAGGCCAACCTATCAAGTCGAAGAAACGATCTTAAGAGTGCCTCGACTTGCCACATCTACAACACGACTTGTCACCAGAGCTACCACTATGCCCACACCTTTGATCATCCCGAGCGAAGAAGGCAACAACCTCCGGGGAAGGACAATTACCTGCAGCTATACGGCGTTGATGGTAATCGTTCGATACCATCTCGTAGGCTGCCGAAAGTGTGGGCATCTTGGGAATCGAAAGTATCTGAGTCTTGACCATAGCGAAAGATTCATCTAACCCCATGAGGAAATCATAAAGGCGAAATTGCTCTTCGCGCTCTTGATTCTTTTGTTGCTACCCACACGTACACAGACTGCACGAACACGGATGGAGGGGTGCCATGGTTTGAAATTCTCCCAAAATTCACGAAGTCGCGTGTAGAAATCGGATACGGACAACTTCTCTTGTGACAAATGGCTGATGGAGCGTCGAACCTCATAGACTCGAGGATGGTAGCCTTGCTCAAACCGCTCCATCAAGTCAACCCACACCTCGCGAGTTGTCTTAGCATGTCGCATACCGCGAAGAAATTGTTTGTGAACGGCGGTAGTCAACCACCCTTTCACCATAGCAGCCGCACGATGGTAGGCGCATAATTTTCCCGGATCGGTAGGATCCTTGAGCGACCCATCCACGAACCCTAGCTTGTTTTTCGCTAGAAGAGATGTTTTCATCTCGTAAACCCAGTCGGTATAGTTGTTTTCATTGAGATGCTCACCAATGTAAAGCTAATTCGGGTTGTCAGATTGGCTCTAGAAGAATAAGGATGCGGGGTAAGTTTCATCGCCACTACTGGCGTCGCCACCGGCCGAACCGTTCCGAGAATTTGAGAGTTGTAGAACTAGGGAGAGCACTTATCTTTTCACAATGGAAACGAGGATCTTGTCGCAGCTCTGATACCATGTAGAAGAAAAAAACGCGGAATTAAACGAACACACAGGTTTAACGTGGTTTCCCCGTTCAACGTGAACGAGACTACTCCACAGAGTGCTACAGCTCTTAAACAAACTCCACTAGGTTTTGAATCACACGAGTTACACTTCGGTTGAGCCTTTTCTCAAGTCTTTATACCACGTTACCCATCTACTAGTATCTAGGGTTACAAGGAAAATTACCGAACCACTACACCAAGAATGAAATATGAACAAACGAGGACAACGACTCGCAATAGACTACAACCCCACATGTGTGACAAAGAGTACTGTTTATTCATATTCTAAACAACACGAAACTGGTCTATTTAGCACACTTATTATTTTCTTTATCATAAACAATGCTGGCATTGAAGCTGTTTATGTTCCTGAAATAACACATCTTCGTATTGTCTTCGACATTCTGGTAGTGGTATGATTGATTCATAGCATCCAAGACGCTAAAGAACGAATAGTTCTTGAAAATCACAACCCTGCTGCCACTCTGTTGATCTTTCAGGCTATTTACTATGGTAGATTTGGAGTGGGAACTTTCATGTGTCTTCTTGTCACCGTACTCTATCTCGATGTTTATTTTGTCTAAGATATCTGCTTTCATCCTTTTTAGATCTTCCTTGTTAGTCAGACTAAAGGTCTTCATTGACTCGAAGGAGTAGAAGTTAATAGCAGTGAATCATTTACGAACGAAACACTGTCATTTGAAAGAACCAACTGTTCTACCGTGGAGCTGAAGTAATCATCCTCATTTTTAGTGTCCATGTAGTTAGCATACGACAAGTTTTGGCTAACACGAGTAGTGATGTTACCGTGTGATGATTGCACCCATCCTTGTGAAGATAAAACCCTATGTGCTTCGACTCATGATTTCCCAGCGAGTGGCACCTTCATCTTGAGCTTCAAGGATAGATCGAGTGGCTGGCTATAGCTCGACACGAATTTTCCCTTTGTCCTGCTGCTTCTGTGATCCAACCAAAGGTGTAGGTTCGCGTCGATGTACCATATGTTCCCTGCATTCCCTATGCCAAAGCTCAAATTGTGGATTCCTCCGTCTAGTAGAATCCCCAAGAATGGTGTTAATTCAATGTCGTACGAAGGGAAATCGAAGTTGCGTATGCTGACTACAGGATTCCATATATCATTCCCTGCACCATAGATGATAGGGTAAGGCCAGATTGCGCCTACTACAATCCTATCATCCAAGGTGATCACCACGTCTCTGAAAGGCCCATTTCCAACCTCGTCCCTGAATTGGTTGAAATTGTAGAACTCAGGTTGATATTGCGAGTACTAGGATTTTTCGTCGTGGTGGGGTGACACATAAACCTCTAACACAGCTCTGTAAGCATTTTGAGGAACCCTGAATCCCTCGCGCTTCAGGTCGGTAGAGTTTTCAATTTGAAACCACAATCCATCGTCTTTCGACTCAAGATTTCATGAAATGGGTAGGATTAAATCCGCCTTGGACTCTGTCTGGAACCCTTTGTTAATACTTGACTTGTGCTCGAGAGGGTAAAATGAGATGCTGACTGCGAGGTGATAAACCCCGATGAAGTTCTTACCGAGATTTGTACTAGTTCAAAAGAAGACGACGAGATTCTGCTTCTCTTTCTTGAGAAGCAAGGAAGAGTACCTCGTGATATCCTTCTGTGCTGCCCAAGATATGGATGTGTGACTCACTCCTACTGTCACTCTAGAAAATGGCCAAGTGTAACCACTTCCTAAAGCATAGTATAGCGGCCTTGGGTTTTATTGTCAACCCGGGTCCTAGATGTGATGACTACTCGGTGAATTCTCGTTATCTAGCAGTGAACTTTTAGTGCAGATTCAAGCAAACAAAAACACAAAGCAAGTTAAACGGTTGTTCAAGTCAAGAGAGGTCACCCGGATATGGTTCCCTCTAGACTGCAGTTAAGTCGAATTGCAATTTACCAAGTTCAGTTTTCATGAAAGTTATACTGCGGAAGGCTCTTAATTAGTCTGAAGTCTCGACTAAAGGTCTTCAGACCCTCCCAATATGAGTCTCTAGCGGGCGACTAACCTCCACCGGAGTAAACAGATTGAGGCCCTAGCGAACCAAACCTCCACTACCGAATTGAATTCGGTACAGAATAGCGAATTGGCTCCTCGACTAAAGTCACCAATTCGCTACCTTCGATTAAGGATACTCTATCAACCTAGGCAGATATTCTCATTCTAGGTCAAAGCAGAAACAACAGGAATTTGATCAGGATTCAAGTCATTCAATCATTCAACCCTCAATCGAATATAATCAATTCACAAACTCTGTACTTGGGTTCATACAATCAGACCTAGCATACAAATCTAGGGTTCCCCATACCCAGATGAATGGGGGAACTGCTCCATAGAGAAAGAAGCAAAAGCAGATTCAGACGCGGAAATTATACTGTGAAGATGGATTTCTGCTCCTGGACGTTAATCGGCACTTCTCCAAGCTCAAGCCGGGCTCCAATGGTGATGAAGATCAAGCTATGGCACTTGGGAACTCTGGTTCGTCGCTTTCTCTCTCTAGGGATCACTTTCTCTCTCAAAAACTCAGAACCCTTCAATGTTGGCCTTCTTTCTCCTTAAATTGTCTGCCTGGTCGCGATACCCGGTCGAAATACCCGGTCGGGTATTTCGGGTTTCGACCGGGTATATTCAAAACGCGCCGCTTTGGTAAAGGGAAAATCCCCGGTCACTTTCCATAATCCCCGACCGGGGATTTAAGTCATCTGCCCGGGCCCCTCTCTGTTTCTCGGGCGCCCAAAATAGTGAATACCCGGTCGGGTATTTGGCCACCTGACCGGGTATATTCCTCCTGCGGCTTACTTTGTCCCAACTTCGCTCCTTTCGACCCAGAACTCGTTCCTCCGCCTCGATTCCAACGCCGGGACCTGAAATATGACATCAACACACACCCTAGCGTGAAATCGGCTTAAAACACTAGAATCCACATCTCAAACGGCTTCAGAATGGGGTGAAAACATGTGTAATTATTGGTCTATCAAACTCCCCCACACTTAACCGTTTGCTTGTCCCTAAGCAAACCAACTAAGACACCAGGTAAGCTCAAAACGTTTCAATCAAAACACGTGGATCATACTGGCTTTCGATCATCAAAACATGGCAACTCGAATGACAACCTAGACAACCACCACAGACGACATTCGAATGCAATAAAGTCGAGCAAAGGAAGAGTTCTCTCCTGTTCACCAACCAACATAGACTTGACTCAATCACTTGTTCAAAACAGTCACTTCATGCACAAAGCTCAAGATATCAGAATTAAGACCGAGCAATCTAGGTCCTCACCGGGGTAAAAAGTATAGAGAAAATGAGAAAATGAATCGCTCACTCTCGACCAGTGGGGTCAGGACAAATTGATGCAAAAAATGCGCATGCTTATTCTCTCAATCCCTAACGTCTCTTCACCATGAATGCAGCCTCTAAATGCTAGAGTTCACAAAAGGGGTGTCACCACTAACTAATCCGGAGGTCTTAGACACAGGTTCAAATGACTGGCTAGGGTCTTGGACATGGGGAAAAGGCCTTTTAGGTGGTGGCAGTTATAGCACAAGGTTCCACATTTCCAAACCCGACAAAACCATAACCAAGCAAACCAGTAACTTCCGTTCTGCTATTCTGCATTAATCAAATTCTTTAGGGCACAAGAGCGAAGGAGGTTATATGAATGTTAGCATTTCCAAGCCAGACTGCTAGGAAACACTACTTAATGGGCACTATTCAGATTTTTGGTGGTGGCTCTCTTTTGCCTTCATTTTCTTTGTTTTTCTTTATTTTTTTCTTTATTCATCATTTAAGAGAACCACCACCTCTGCACATTTTTCAAATACACGCCCAACTTTTAAGCACTACCTCCAACCCTCACATTACATTTAGCAGAAACAGCAGAAAACATGCAAAAACCACTCTGTGGAACCTTCTACAAGATGCAAAGGGTGATTTTTCATTTTAGACCGAAAGAAAGGATAACACACGGCTCAAAGGGGCTGACTAGGGGATATGACACATCGGGACAGTCAGTTTGGTCGTGGGCTAATCCTATGCCTCCATCATCTTAGCTAGTGACAACGTGAATGCTACATTTCATGGAAGAGGAATCTATCGCACAAGAAAGAACCGAGCAGGCTCAAATCTCATATGGCTACCTATATTCTCTATCTCACATTCTGATTTCCTGAACTAGATGCATAAATGACTGTCAAAAGCAAGTGATCAAATGCAAGTCGCAGTTGGTAAGCAAACAGTTGAAAACGGAACCCCTACACAACTCTACTACACATCTCAGTCATCGTAATGAGCTGTCTTAGTCACACTCAAGTTGTCATGCATCGAGTCAAAAGCCATTCAATTTACTAATCACATCCACAGTGCCAATACGATCAATCATCAAAGCAAACAGCAGTGCTTGGAGCCCTCAAATCTCAAGATTTGGACAGTGGACTAGGCTCCAAGCACACAAACAGATCGAATGCAGTCAAAAGATAAACATCATCCCAGATCGACATTGCCCTCAATGGAGAAGAGGAAAGGAAAGGGGAACGATGTTACCGGTGTGTACAGACTGCAGGAGACTGGAAATGGACCAGTCGGCATGGAACTGACTGGAGAGAGGACCAGTCGGGAACACAGGCAGAGCTAAAGGAAACCAAAAAGCTCAAACACATACGTTAGGTCCAATGGTCAGCCCAATAGTACATCATCCAAAATGAAAAGAAAAAGAAACAAAAACCGACGCAAAACAGTTTGCATGCTGACAAAGACCAAAAACACTCAAAACATGCCCCTAGGGCCCTCCAAGACCGGAGAAGTCGATCTGGTTCATGAGGTCGTCGTCGCCATCCTCCAGCTGCTGCTGTGGTGGTGAATGATCCCACTGGGTGGTCTAGTGGTGCTCCTCTGGAGGGTGACAAGCCTGGAGCAGGTGCTCCGAGTACTCCATCAGTCGGCGGTCTCTATCTCTCTCCCGCTCAATGAGAGCATTAGTGACTCCCATGTGGGTCTCCAAGCGGCCAAGGCGCTCATCAACTCCCGTCAGCCTGGACCGGTACTCGGCCTGGTGGGCCGAATACTGCTGATAGAACTGGACCTGATGGTCCATGAGCTGCTGGTTCTGAAGACCGAGCTGCTGGAACTGGAGTCCCATCTGCTGAAAATGCTCGGTGAAGAAGTCCATCGACGGGCCAGAAGCCATCAACGGACCAGAAGGACCAGAAGAGGACTCGCCTCTCACCGGTCTCCGTCGAGGCTGCAGGTCACCTGGTGGAGAGAGCTGGGGCTCCGGCTCATCGGCATCCATGGCCCCGTCATCATCATCATCCTCCTCATCCTCCTCCTCGGCGGAGTAGTCATCATCCTCCTCGTCCTCATCAAGATCCACAACCTCCTCAGGGGGCATAGAAAGCCCATCCACCCAGGTGCGGATGTTATCAGTTGCCAGGAGGCGTGCCCTGTGGAGCACGTCCCGGCTGTGGGGTGCGGAGCCGCCCTGTGCAGAAGCATCGTGAAGCCCCTCGAAGCTGATGCCAAAGTGGCGAGCCAGCCGGGTGATCAAGGGACCACAGAAGAGGTGGGTGGGATTCCCGTGGCACCGGGAGAAGGTGGTGGCCACGAAAGATGCCAAGTGGAGCATGTGCTCCGGATCCCCCATCGAGTACATGGCGTACAGCACCCGCTTCGGAATCTTATGCGAGCCCGTGGCGTTGGGGACGATGGAGCGGGTGATCAGCAGGTTCAGAATGTGCCACTCCTGCTTGAGGGTGCTGACGTAGGTCTGGCCAGCCTCGAAGAAGTCATCCCGATAGGCGACCCTGACTACACGGCTGTAGAAATGATCCTGGTTCCAGTCGGTCGGGTTCGGGAGCTCGACCGTGTGGCCATCGAACGGGTGGTACTCGATCCCCAATGCGTAGGCCAACCCGTCAATGGTCAGCTCCCGGGGATGGCCACCCAACCTGAATGTCACCGGAAAGGCATCCCGGGGCTTCTTGCGGTCATACTGAAATGTGGTGTAGAATTCCCACACCAGCTCCGTGTATGTGGGCTCGTCTATGGCAAGCAGCGTCCGCCAATCGCGGTGACTGATGGCGGTGCGGAGCTCCTGCAAGCAGTGGAGCTGCTCGAACACCGCCCACTCGAGATGGTGGTGGCGCTCCAGTTTCCCTCGAATCACCATGCGGAACTGGTCCGCGTACTCCCGGTGCAGGCGCAAGCCCTGCACAAACGGATGATCGAGGGACATGGTCCTGCACAATCAACAAACCAAAAGTGGATCCAAGAAAAAATATTGTCAGGACCAACGGCATGGGGTCAGCACTTCCCCCACACTCAGGCTCACCTAGGCTAACAGTTAAGCACAACCGGTTGAATTGAAATCAACTCAACCGGAATTCAAGGCAAGACCATAGAATCAACCACAATAAGCACACGGGCAGCACATATACCACATATAAATCCATGCAAGCTCAATCATCCCTCACCCTACTCTAAATCAGGCAGGCAAACACAGTTCTCGGTCCTATAATCTACAGTTCGATTTTCCATGAACTAGCAATGAACAAGAAACACACCTGGAAACACAAGGAGAACTGTAGCTAGGACGCGAGGAAAGGGTGAGGGACGCGAGGGGAGCAAAAAAAACGCCCGGAAGGATCGCCGGAAAATGGCCGGAAATTGGCCGGCGAGTCGCGGAAAGTCGCCGGATGACCGGCGGCGGCCAAAGAGGAGAGAGGGGAGAGGAGAGAGAGGAGAGAGAGGAGAAATTTTGGAAAAAATGAGGGTAGAGAGAGAAATGACCGGGGGTTTCCTTTAAATAGGAAAAATCACCGGTCGGGTATTTGTGAGTCCTCGACCGGGGTTCGCTAAACGCAGCGTGTAAGGCCTCTATAACCACCGGCCTCGAACCAAAAATACCCGGTCGGGTATTTTTGGGACGAGGTCGGGTATGTTTGTTAAAACGCTGCGTTCAAGGTCTTGGGAATCCCCGGCCGGGAACCAAAAATACTCGACCGGGTACTTCCCCTTTTTTCCCCCCCGGGAAAACAGAGGGGGCCCCGGGCGTGAGCCAAAAATACCCGGTCGGGTATTTTGGCCCACGACCGGGTATTTCCCCCAATTCGGCCAAAAACTCATTTTGCCCAAAATTTCAACCTCTCCTGCACGAAAACACCAACTCGAGGCATCAACGACGACCGAACTTCACTACAGACATGAAACTGACTCGACATGACACAAAAAACTCAGAAAAAAAAGGAAAGAAAATGCAAACCGTGGTGGGGTTGCCTCCGCACAAGCGCTTCTTTACCGTCTTTTAGCTGGACGCCCATGGCAGGACTAAGGGTCCGCGAGTTCCACCACCAACTCCGCACGTTCGACCTCGTCTCCCAGGTAGAGTTTGAGACGATGGCCATTCACTTTAAACGGCTCAGTCTGCGGGTTGGCAATCTCGATAGTGCCATACGGGAACACCTGGGTAACCGTAAACGGTCCAGACCACCCGGAACGGAGTTTTCCGGGAAAGAGCTTCAGGCGAGAGTTATAGAGGAGAACTCGATCACCAACCTGGAACTCTTTCGGACCCCTCAACCGGGCATCGTGCAGGCGCTTAGTGCGCTCCTTGTACAGCCGGGTGTTCTCATAGGCGTGGTAACGCCACTCTTCCAGCTCCAACATCTGCATTTTTCGCTCAATACCTGCAACACGAACATCCAAGTTGAGAAGCTTAAGGGCCCAGAAGGCCTTGTGCTCTAACTCCACGGGCAAATGGCATGCCTTTCCATAGACAAGCCGGTACGGTGAAGTACCAATGGGTGTCTTGTAGGCAGTGCGATACGCCCACAGAGCATCATCGAGCTTGGTGGACCAATCTTTGCGGGACCGATCCACCGGGTGTGAGGGTCGAGCTGATGATGACTGGCAGCTAATTCCCCTCCCGGAGAAATGCATACTCCAAATGAGGAGGGAGGGGCTTAAGCTCCAGCTCTGGTGGTTCCTCCAAGGAGGTGGTGATGGGATTGGAGGATGAGATCGGTTTAAACAGCCTGTCGCCCTCCAAGAAGGGGCCACTCTCCAATGCGGCCAACTGCTCCGCCAGCTGCGGCTCCTGCGATGCCTGCTCACCTAGCAAAATACAACGCTCAAGAGCATCATCAGTACCCGCACTCGTGATGGCGAGTGCGGTCTCAAAATCGGTAAGCACATCACAGTAGTCTATGTCATCATGCAAATGAGAATGTTTCCCATTGTCAGACACAGAAAAAGTAGCCTGTTCATCACCAGCACGCAAGATCAATTTACCACTATGCACATCAATAAGCGCCTTGGCAGTGGCGAGAAATGGTCTACCCAAAATCAAAGGCACATCCACATCCTCATTTATATCCAAAATAACAAAATCAACAGGATATGTGAATGCACCGACATTAACAAGCAAGTCCTCAATGATACCCCTAGGATGCACGATAGAACGATCAGCTAACTGAATGCTCATCCTAGTAGCTCTAGGTTCACCTAGGTCTAGCTTCTTAAACAATTTATAGGGCATGACATTTATGCTAGCGCCTAGGTCCGCCAAGGACTTTCCTACATGCATGCTGCCAATAACAAGAGGGATAGTGAAACTCCCTGGGCCTTTGCGCTTTTCGGGCAGCTTGTTCTGCAGGATAGCAGAACACTCCTCGCTGAGCATCACTGTCGAAAGATCCCCAAGTTTCTTCTTGTTGGTGAGGAGGTCTTTCATGAACTTGGCATACTTGGGCATTTTCGACAGTGCCTCCATGAACGGCATGCTGATGTTGACCTGCTTCAACATTGCCATGAACTTGGCAAACTCTGTCTCCAGCTTGTCTTTATGAAGTCGAGTGGGGAAGGGCAGCTGGGGTGTATGCTCCTTAACCACAGGCTGCGGCTTGGGAGCAGGTGTTTCGCTGCCTTCCCCCACTTCTGCAGTATCAGCTGGAGGTGTTGAAGCAGGTAGTGGGTAGTCTCGCCTGGGCTGGGCAGGAGTAGCAGATATGGTCTTGCCACTCCTGGTGGTGATGGCGTCCAGCTGCTGGAGAGGGTCACGAGGATTAGGAACAGTGGTAGCAGGCAGAGTCCCCGGTGCCCTGGTAGTGCTCTGGCGAGCTAAGCTCCCAATCTGATTCTGTAGATCCTGCAGAATGGCACCTTGGTTTCTCTGGCCTGCCTCCAGTGAGGCTATGTTCTGATCCATCCTCGTGAAATTCGCCTTACTGGTGGTCATGAATGCCTGCAAAATGTTCTTCAGATTAGCCATCTGAGTATCTGGAGCTGCGGCTGCTGGAGGCTAAGCAAACTGGCGCTGGGGCTGCTGGAATGGCTGCCCTTGCCTAGGCTGGTAGGGCTGCTGCTGTGGTGGTGACCCCTGCCTAGCCTGGAAGGGCTGCCTCTGCTGAAAACCACCTGCTGGTGCTGGGAAACCAGGTGGTTTGGTGTTGTTGCTGCTCCAGGCGAAGTTGGGATGCTGGCGCCATCCCTCATTGTAGGTACTGCTGTATGGGTCCAGGCGCCGAGCATTGGCGATGAAGTCCACCTGCTCTTGGGGAGTAGAGTACTCCCTCATAGACTGACAATCCTCCACCAGGTGATTCGGGCTCTCACACCACTGACACTGAGCTACGGGAGGCGTAGCTACACCTCGGCCCAGAAGGAGACTGTTGGGCTGCTTCAACGTCTGCACCAACTCAGCCACCTGCTGCTCTAACCCGGACCTGGCCTCCATAGCATGCACACCCCGGTCCCGGGAATTCCTGCCTCTGTTGTTCTGTCCCCAAGAATGATCTCGGGCAGCCAAGGTACTGATCATCTGGTTCAATCACCCTCCTAGGCATAGAGACTCAATCACCCTCTGGCTGTCTGGAGTGAGGGCGCTGTAGAAGTTCCCCACTGTGAATGCATCGCTGAAGCCATGATGGGGGCACTGCCAGAAGTATCCCATGTACCGCTCCCATGCATCACGAAGTGACTCATCTGGCTCTTGGCGGAAGTGAGTGATCTCCCGCTGAATCTCTGTGGTCTTCGATGCCGGATAGTACCTGTGCACGAACTTGTCAGCCAGATCGTCCCAAGAGGTGATGGACAATGGGGGTTGGGTCTCCAACCACCTCTTAGCATTCCTCGCCAGAGAATGGGGGAAGAGGTGAAGGCGGATTGCGTCATCCGGGACACCGTTCAGCTTGAACCCGTTCGTCAGCTGCAGAAAACGGGAAAGATGTACCCGGGCTTCCTCATCCTTCAAGCCATGGAACTGGATAGAGGATGTGATGAGTTGAATCCAGCATGGCTTGATCTCAAAGTTGTTTGCAGGAATGGGCGGATGTCAGCAATCCGCGGAGTATAGTAGTACTCCAAGGTGGGACCCGATGGTGGTGGATGATGATGGGCCCCCAGCTCCCTGGGGATTGGGGTCGTTCCCCAGGATCTGGTTCACCGGAGGTGGGTTTTGATCGCCTTCCATCTCGTACTCGTCCTCGGATTCCCTGCTCAATTGGCCGTCTCTGCGCTCCACCGTAGCCAGTCTAGCTCGCTGTTGTCTTCGAAGTTGGGTGCAGGTGCGTTCAATCTCTGGATCCAACGGCAGTAAACCTCCCGACTGGCTATGGGTCATGCACTATCTGCACACAATCAAGCAATGCAAACCCGTGAAGGCACAAGTGGGAAAGAACAAACACTCAATGCGAAAATGAAAATGCTAAAGTAACAGAAATCACTTTTCTTCAACAACCTAGCCGTCCCCGGCAACGGCGCCAAAAACTTGACTCACTCCTACTGTCACTCTAGAAAATGGCCAAGTGTAACCACTTCCTAAAGCGTAGTATAGCGGGCTTGGGTTTTATTGTCAACCCGGGTCCTAGATGTGATGACTACTCGGTGAATTCTCGTTATCTAGCAGTGAACTTTTAGTGCAGATTCAAGCAAACAAAAACACAAAGCAAGTTAAACGGTTGTTCAAGTCAAGAGAGGTCACCCGGATATGGTTCCCCCTAGACTGCAGTTAAGTCGGATTGCAATTTACCCAGTTCAGTTTTCATGAAAGTTATACTGCGGAAGGCTCTTAATTAGTCTGAAGTCTCGACTAAAGGTCTTCAGACCCTCCCAATCTGAGTCTCTAGCGGGCGACTAACCTCCACCGGAGTAAACAGATTGAGGCCCTAGCGAACCAAACCTCCACTACCGAATTGAATTCGGTACAGAATAGCGAATTGGCTCCTCGACTAAAGTCACCAATTCGCCACCTTCGATTAAGGATACTCTATCAACCTAGGCAGATATTCTCATTCTAGGTCAAAGCAGAAACAACAGGAATTTGATCCGGATTCAAGTCATTCAATCATTCAACCCTCAATCGAATATAATCAATTCACAAACTCTGTACTTGGGTTCATACAATCAGACCTAGCATACAAATCTACGGTTCCGCATACCCAGATGAATGGGGGAACTACTCCATAGAGAAAGAAGCAAAAGCAGATTCAGACGCGGAAATCATACTGTGAAGATGGATTTCTGCTCCTGGACGTTAATCGGCACTTCTCCAAGCTCAAGCCGGGCTCCAATGGTGATGAAGATCAAGCTATGGCACTTGGGAACTCTGGTTCGTCGCTTTCTCTCTCTAGGGATCGCTTTCTCTCTCAAAAACTCGGAACCCTTCAATGTTGGCCTTCTTTCTCCTTAAATTGGCTGCCTGGTCGCGATACCCGGTCGAAATACCCGGTCGGGTATTTCGGGTTTCGACCGGGTATATGCAAAACGCGCCGCTTTGGTAAAGGGAAAATCCCCGGTCACTTTCCATAATCCCCGACCGGGGATTTAAGTCATCTGCCCGGGCCCCTCTCTGTTTCTCAGGCGCCCAAATTAGTGAATACCCGGTCGGGTATTTGGCCACCTGACCGGGTATTTTCCTCCTGCGGCTTACTTTGTCCCAACTTCGCTCCTTTCGACCCAGAACTCGTTCCTCCGCCTCGATTCCAACGCCGGGACCCGAAATATGAAATAAACACACACCCTAGCGTGAAATCGGCTTAAAACACTAGAATCCACATCTCAAACGGCTTCAGAATGGGGTGAAAACATGTGTAATTATTGGTCTATCAATGTGTTGAACCCTTGAGCAGAGGAGCTCCTCAGGAGCTCGACTCCTCCCAACCAAACCGCGAATACCCCATCGTCCTGTGCTCCACTGAAACTGCCTTTTGATTCCAACACAATCTTGGAGAAATCATGGGAACCGCAGGTGGAAGGAGGGCCTTCATAATCCGTTGCAACTTGGGGGTTTTTTCCAGTCGAGCTGAATTCGTGTTGGAGGAGGAGTTTCTTGCAGGGCACGGTATTAGGGACATGGATGGGTTTGGTTACTTGTAAAACTGTGTTTGATTTTGTAGGTTGCAGCTTCAATGGTGATTTGTCAATTGATAAGAATGTGCACATCTCCAGGGAGTTGTGGAAGAACCTTTTTGATCTTTTGACGGTTGGGATGGCATTAATGGAGTTGAAAGGGCAGAGGATGAGTAACAAGGACAAGAAGAAGAACAAGAGATGTGGTGAAGAGAGGGGAAACCGAGTCGTCATTACAATGAGAGAATTATTGCTACCGAGTCCTTTTTGTGGTGAGGTTGAGCTCTCTTCTAGGCTTCATTTTATAGACCACAAACCAGCCGGAGTACTGCTCGGCCGAATGGATCAACACAATGATACATCAGTCGTCTCGAAGGTACATTCTAAGGCCGGCCGTTATTTCTTGCCCATTTAATTAAAGGTTAATGGCATAAATTGCCGATCTACTATAGTTTTTTCTCTAATTTTCACTTTTACCATGATTCACATGAAATATGTCCTCCTATTATAATTAAGTTCTCAAACTTAACCTTCCGTGATAAATTCCATCCTATTTGCGTTAATTATTAATGCACCACGGTTGAACCTTTAAGATTATCCCTTTTACCCCTAAGTTAAAATGTAATTTTTCCTTTTTGTTAAGCATGATAAGAATTGAACCGAAACACATGGGTATACTAACTTGAACAAAAATCATCGCCTTTGCCCACCAGCCCATCTCGAAATATTGTCGTCGGAATCCTAAGTTGTTCCCACCATCGTTTCCCAAGGCCGCTACCACAGGTTTTGTATCGGGACCGAGTTTCATCATGTTTAGTATTTTTTTTTTCTTTCTCTTTTTTTCCTTTTTGTTGAGCATGATCACAATTGAACCCAATGCTGCTACCGAAAATTCATACCATATCTACTCAATGTTGGCGAGTTTTGTATCGGGACCGAGTTTCGTTCGCTGTAGTGGTTTTTTCTTTCACTTTTTCCTTTTTGTTGAGCATAATCACAATTGAACCCAAATCCATGGGTATCCAACCTAATTCAATCCGGTCAAATCTATTTGAAACAGACTTTAGCATTTATAAATTTCTCTTTCATCTTCTTTTGATTGGGAAGACAATTGAACCTGAATCTAAGATTTTGGCGAGTATTATATTGTGAGCGAGCTTTATCCGCTTTTGTAATTGGCAGGTTGGACCAATTGTTAATTTGTTAAAAAATTGTTCAAAGCGAGTTGACCAGTTTGAGATCGAAAGCAAGTTTTGTACGCTTTAATGGTTTTTTATTTCTCATTTTCCTTTTCGTTGAGAATGACAATTGAACTCTGACACATTGTTGACGCGTTTCGTATCAAGAGCGAGTTTTATCTGCTTTTGTAATTAACATGTTGGATAAATTGTGAATTTGTTAAAACTAGGTCGACCCGGTCAAAGCGAGTTGAATGCGTTGTTGAGAGTTTGCGGTAATGAGCGAGTTTTATCCACTTTAGTTTTTTATTTTATCTTTTCTCTTTTGGTTGAGAATGACAATTGCGTCCATACGCATGAGTATACAACCTCATTCGACCCGACCAAAGCAACTTGATCCTGATTTTACAGGTTTTCGACGGGAGCGAATTTCATCAGTTTTTGTAATTGGATCTCATAGTCGTAGCCCAGCAGCTTCGACACCCACTTTTGCTGATCTGGTGTAGACACCCTCTGCTCTAAAAGGTGTTTCAAACTGTTATAAACGCGCTGCTACGGATCGGGAAATCGCCGGGATCGACAAAGCAAGAATACGAAAGCGAGAATCGAAAACACGACACACGATTTACGTGGTTCACTAACACGATGTGTGTTAGCTAGTCCACGGGCGAGAGAGAGCCAGTTTCACTATATCGAGGAGATTACAGATTACAGAGGAGTATGAGAAGTATTTATAGTACTTCTCCATGTGGGTCTAAACCTAATCCAATCTAGCAAAGGAAACGGTTACAGACCAGGCCCAGAACCCGAACCCAAATAACATTGAGCTCATACACCGTGGGCCGGGGGCGTTGCGACTGATAATAACCCGAACCCGAACCCAAATAACATTGAACCCAAATAACAGCGAGACCCCCGATTACCAGTCGTAGCGGCTGATAATCCGATTCAAGACATATCAACAAATCTCCACCTTGACTTGAATCCTCTTCCTCTGAAATCTCTGATGTACTCTGCTCCTTCTCTCTCTCCCGCCATCAATGCCCCGTAGGGCGGAGTCACCCACTCAAGACATTCAGCAAGTCCAAGCAGTGTTGGAACTTGCCATGTGGAACCGGCTTCGTGAACATATCAGCAGGATTATCCGCGGTGCCAACCTTATTCACCTTAATCCTCTTCTCTGTCCTCAAGAAATGATACCTCACGTCGATGTGCTTAGTCCTCTCATGGTGGACTTGATCCTTGGCCAAGCATATTGCACTCAAACTGTCGCAATACACCACTGCCTGATCATGATGTAGACCAAGATCACCAACCAGTCCCTTCAACCATATTCCCTCCTTAGCAGCTTCTGTCAACGCCATATACTCTGCCTCAGTAGTAGACAATGTCACCGCCGACTGCAAAGTTGCCTTCCAGCTCACTACAGAACTCCCAAGAGTGAATACATAACCAGTCATCGATCTCCTCGTGTCAACATCTCCAGCATAGTCCGAGTCAGAATACCCAGACACCAAGCACTCTGTATCACTTCCGAAGCTAATCCCCACATCAGGTGTACCCTTAAGGTACCGGAAGATCCTCTTCACAGCCTGCCAATGCTCCTTCCCAGGTTGTATCATAAACCTGCTGACAACACTAACAGCATGTGCAAGATCAGGTCTAGTGCATACCATAGCGTACATCAAGCTACCTACTGCACTAGCATATGGGACTCTCGACATGTACTCCTTCTCAGCCTCTGACTGCGGTGCATAAGCCGAGGATAGATGAACATTTGAAGCACTAGGAGTATTTAAGGGCTTTGCTGAAGACATGCCAAACCTCGACAATATCTTCTGGATGTAGCTCTTCTGTGACAAGAAAAGCTTCTTCTTCGACCTGTCCCTATAAATCTCCATACCCAAGATCTTCTGAGCAGCTCCCAAATCCTTCATCTCAAACTCAGCACTGAGAAGCCCCTTTAACTTCTGGATATCAGACTTCGACCTCGCAGCTATGAGCATATCATCCACATACAGAACTAGATATATCATCGAACCATCCTCTGCCTTGCTGTGATATACACAGCAATCATATGGACTTCTGTTGTAGCCCAGCTCAAGCATGTAACTGTCAAATCTCTTGTACCACTGCCTCGGAGATTGCTTAAGTCCATACAAGGACTTCTTCAGCTTACAAACATAGTCTTCTTTTCCCGGAACCTCGAATCCTTCTGGCTGAGTCATGTAAATTTCTTCTTCCAACTCTCCATGTAGGAAAGCTGTCTTCACGTCTAGCTGCTCGAGCTCCAAGTCATAATGTGCCACTATTGCTAGTAGCACTCTGATCGAAGTATGTCTGACCACTGGTGAGAAAATCTCATTGTAGTCAACTCCTTCCCTCTGCGAGAAGCCTCGTGCAACCACCCGAGCTTTAAATTTCATGCCCTCTTTAGAAGTGATTCCTTCCTTCTTCTTGTAGATCCACTTGTTTGTAACAATCTTCCTTCCCTGTGGTCGTTTGACTAGCTCCCAAGTCTGATTCCTGTCATGGGATTCCATCTCATCTCCCATTGCGGCAAGCCACTGATCGGCTTCACCACCCGAAACTGCTTCTCTATAGGACTGTGGCTCTCCTGCATCCACTTCCTCAGCAACCTGAAATGAATACGCCACCATGTCCTCGAAGCCATACCTCTGTGGAGGTACTCCTGCAGTCGCTCTCTTTGGTCTACCGGAAGTAATAGACTGTTGAGCTCGTGCACTGGACTCTGAAGTTTCTGGCTCTGCAGAGACATCCTCATCATGTTGATCTTCTCCACCTTGGTGCTCAAACTCACTCTCATTGAGAGTTTGCAGCTCCACCTGCTTATCAACATTCCTGCTACCTTCAACAACAGTGACCTTCAACATGGGGTTAAACATAGACTTCTCATCAAATATCACATTTCTACTAAGTATAACTCGATGCTCAGAAGGTGACCAGACTCGAAATCCCTTAACTCCATCTCCGTAACCCACAAATACACCCTTCTTTGCCCTTGGGTTCAGTTTACCCTCATCCACATGATAATAAACAGGACACCCAAAAACTTTCAGTGAAGAGTAATCAGCAGGCTTACCATACCACACTTCATAAGGAGTCTTACACTCGATACCTGTGTGTGGTCCACGGTTGATCAGGAAGCACGCCATGTTTACTGCTTCTGCCCAAAATCTTCTCTCTAGTCCAGCATTAGAGAGCATGCACCGTGCTCTCTCCAACAATATCTGGTTCATTCTTTCTACAACGCCATTCTGCTGAGGTGTATCTCTAACAGTCCGATGACGGGCAATCCCTTCATCCTTGCAGAATTCGTTGAACTCAGAACTGCAGAACTCCAGACCATTGTCCGTTCGCAGCTTCTTGATCTTCTTCCCGGTCTGATTCTCCACCAATGTCTTCCACTGCTTGAACTTCGTGAAAGCCTCACTTTTCTGCTTCATCATGAAAATCCAAGTAAATCTCGAATAATCATCAATAATAGACAGAAAATACCTGCTGCCTCCAATGGATTCAACTCGTGAAGGACCCCAACAGTCGGAGTGGAGGTAATCCAGTATCCCCTTCGTCCGGTGGATACCCTTCTTGGGAAACTTGCTGCGATGTAGCTTCCCAAACACACAATGCTCACAGAATTCCAAATTCTGCACCTTGTGCCCGCAAAGAAGATCCCTCTTCGATAGAACTTGCATCCCCCGTTCACTCATATGCCCCAGTCTCATGTGCCAGAGAGTGGTCATATCTTCCTGTTGAACCTGAGACGATGCAACTGCAGCAGAACCAGACAACACAGACCCTTGTAATGCATACAAGGTCCCACGCTTCACGCCCTTCAGTACCTTCCTCGAACCCTTGCAGACATACACAACTCCACCTTTTCCTTTGAAGCTGAAGCCCTTGCTGTCGAGTAGACTCAAGGAGATCAGGTTCTTCGTCATTCGTGGAACATGTCTGACATCATTCACGGTACAGAACGAACCATCATGTGTCCGAACCTTTATGGACCCGATTCCAACAACCTTGCAGACAGCTCCATTTGCCATGACCACGTTACCACCATCTATCAGCTCGTAGGTTGTGAAGCAATCCCTGTTCGGAGACATATGGTATGAGGCTGCAGTATCCAGAAACCACACATCACCACGATGTGCCTTCTCATCTACAGCCAAGGCGAGATCGTCTTCAGAACTGTTGTCCACTTCTGCCACGGCAACTGAACCTTGTTTCTTCTGTTGCCCTCTTCTATTGGGACAGTTGTACTTCCAATGCCCCACTTCCTTACAGTTGTGACAAGCATCACCTGGCTGTGGACCGGGACCCTTGGAATTCTTGCTCGAATTCCCTTTACCAGATTTCTTCTTTCCCTTTCCACCTGTAACAGCCAAACCCGATGCCTCACCACCTGTACCAGATCCGGACGCCTTATGTCTGATCTCTCTCGTATGAAGAGCAGACCTGACATCCTCCAACGACACGCTTTCTTTACCAGCAATAAAAGAATCAACAAAATTCTCATATGAACTCGGCAAAGAAACCAGCAGGATTAGGGCAGCATCCTCGTCATCAACTTGAACATCTATATTACGCAGATCCAGCAAAATAGAGTTAACTTGTTCACCGACGTCATTCTTCTGAATCGAAAACCCTAGCCTGATTTCCAGCCGCGGCTCTGATACCACTTGTTATAAACGCGCTGCTACGGATCGGGAAATCGCCGGGATCGACAAAGCAAGAATACGAAAGCGAGAATCGAAAACACGACACACGATTTACGTGGTTCACTAACACGATGTGTGTTAGCTAGTCCACGGGCGAGAGAGAGCCAGTTTCACTATATCGAGGAGATTACAGATTACAGAGGAGTATGAGAAGTATTTATAGTACTTCTCCATGTGGGTCTAAACCTAATCCAATCTAGCAAAGGAAACGGTTACAGACCAGGCCCAGAACCCGAACCCAAATAACATTGAGCTCATACACCGTGGTCGGTGTATATGTGAAATTTCTTCCCCAGGAGGTACGGCCGCCATGTCTGTACTGCAGTAATGATCGCCTGCATTTCCTTCTTGTATGTCGACCAAGCCTCCTTAGACGGCGCCAGTGTCTTACTCATAAAGGCGATGGGATGGCGGTCCTGAGATAACACCGCCCCGATTCCCCTGCCTCAAGCATCCACCTCAATAACAAATGGCTTGGAAAAATCCGGCATTGCTAGAGTTGGGGTGGTAGTCATCGCCTGTTTGAGCCGCTGGAATGCGACCTCCGCCGCTGGTGACCAGGCAAACCCGCCTTTCTTCAGTAGATCCGTCGGTGGTCTGGCGATCATGCTATAATCCTGCACAAACTTCCGATAATAACCTGTCAACCCCAAAAATCCCCGCAACTCAGTCACCATCGCGGGAACCTGCCAGTCCACCATCTCCTGGATCTTGGAGTGGTTCACCTTCGCACCCTGTGGAGTCACCATATGACCAAGATACTCCACCTCCTGTACCCCGAACTCGCACTTAGAGGCCTTGATATAGTACTGGTTCTTTCTCAATATCTCGAACACCTCCTGCAAATGTCTCAAGTGATCTGCCCATGACGGGCTGTAAATCAGGATATCATCGAAGAAAACCAGAACATACCGATGTAGGAGCGGCCGAAAGATGTCGTTCATGGCTGCCTGGAAAGTGGAGGGCGCATTTCACAACCCAAAGGGCATCACTAGGTACTCATAGTGCCCGTTATGAGTGCGAAACGCTGTTTTATGGACATCCGCCTCCTGCATCCGGATCAGATGATACCCCGCCCTCAAATCCAACTTCGAGAAAAAGCAGGACCCATGAAGCTCGTCGATCATATCGTCCACTGTCGGAATGGGGAAACGATCCTTCACTGTGGCCTCATTAAGCGCCCGATAATCAGTGTAGAATCGCCACGTCCCATCCTTCTTCCTCACCAGCAAAACCGGCGACGAGAACGGGCTAGTGCTCGGTCGGATCAGGCCCGTGGTCAGCATCTCAGAGACCTGTCTCTCTATTTCCTCCTTCTGCGAATGTCCATACATGTACGGTCTCACATTCACCGCCTCCACTCCCTCCTTGAGCTGAATCTGGTGATCAACCAGTCTATGGGGAGGTAAGGCAGGGGGAGTGTCGAACAAGTCCGAATAGTGCCCAAGCAACTCCTGCACCTCCGGGTGGAGCACCTGCCGCGTCCCTCCCTCGATCGGCCAGCACAGAATGGCCAACTCGGCCTTGCCATCCGGGCCGCAGTCCTTGAACGAGATGGAGCCGACAGCAGTGGTGAGGCCCTGCAAAATCCACTCCTTATCCCTCCATTTGAAACGCATGGTCAACCGCTGCCAATCACTGGTCACGGGTCCCAGACTCTGCAGCCACGGAACTCCCAGAATGATGTCGAATTCCCTGATGGGCAGCACATACAGATAAGTGGTTATGCTCAGACCTTGAATTTCTATAGATATACCTCGAAAAACCCATTCACATCGCAAGGGGGCACCATTCGCCACCTTCACCACCATGGGATCGGCGGCCGGCGGCACCTGCTGCAGGTGCGTGGCGAACTCCTCTCCCACAAAATTCAAGGAAGCTCCGCTGTCGACCAGGGTGATGGCCACGCGCTCCTCGACTCGAGCCCTAAAACGAAGAGTACCCGGCGAGGACCATCCCGCCACCGAGTGCAGCGAGAGGCTCGGCTCAGTCGCGCGGGGCGCGCAGGCTTCGATCGCGGCGGTCACCGCGGGGCGCCGCTCGGCCCGCTCCTCTCCAGCGCGCGGCGCGGCCTCGACCACCGTGGGGCGCTGCTCGGCCCGCTGTACTCCAGCGCGCGGCGCGGCCTCGTTCTGCGAAGGGGGGCGCGCGATTGGGGCGGCGACGGAAGGCTCGATCGCCGGCTCGTCGGGCAGCCAACGGCGGCTGATGCGGCGGGCCCTGTCCCGCAATTCAGCCCACGATAGGTCCGAGAGTTGGGAGGAACTCATCGACGATCGCAGGCTCTGATATCAGATGTAAGACACAAGAAATCCCAATTGGGAATTTAGGGATTGAGAAGAGAAGAATTTAGGGATTTGGAAAATTGGGGAAGAACAAGAGAGAGAGAAGAGAGATTAGGGATTGAGATTTTCTGATTATTATTGCTTAATTCCCAAAATTAATGAGCTGTAGCCTTAAGTAGCAGTAAACCGAAAATAACATAAATCACAAGTTTGCCACTCTTTCCCCCTCTTGGCCGAGCCGGCCCTCTCTCCCTAACCAAGGGTCGGGTTTCCCACACTCAGGAAATATTCTTTTAGTATATAAAAGCTGGCTACGCTTTTTGCTCTTTCTTTTTTGTTACTGTTTCAATTCCTGTCTTTTAGTGTCGATTGGTGGAAGGTTTCGACGAACAGCTTCCCAAATCAAACCCTTCCCATTTATCTGCGATCGTGGGACCTTTACCTTCCCCCAGTCCAGCAGACAGCCATTCCTTCCCAGCTGAACTGACCTCCCTACTGCGTCCTTTCACCGGTTGCTTCGCCATTAGCGTGCTCCCAAGCCATGACTGCTACTACACGCCACCGTTGGAAAGGGCTCTCTCAGTCACGGCAGCGACCATGCTTCCTACTGCCCTTCCCCACAACTCGATTGGGAACTCCATCTTCGTACTGCCTCTGCAACCCACTTCAGTACGCCAAGACCTTAAGCCACCTCTCCCCGCAATTCCTCTTTACCAAACCCAATCCCGCATTCCATTTTCGGACGGCAGAAGGAGGAGCAAAACCGGCAATGGTGGTCTGCTTCTCAGGTACCTTTCTAAAACCCAGCTCCGCCTGAATCCATTCGGCTACATCTCTCTCTCATCTTCATAGATCTTCTGTTTAAGTAAGCTTTGACCAATGAACACGTCGTTGCGGGTCCATGTATTGTGTTGGTGGCCGATGAACACTCAGACGAAGGCGAGGTTGAAAACGAAGAGAAAAACGAGGGTGGGGATGACGACGACGATGAGCGGGGAAGGACGGCGACTGCTCCTGGTAGGTCTTCTTTCTGACCTTGTCTTTCTCGACTTCTTGGTCCTCTCTTTTTTTCTACTTTTCTCGGTTGGCAATTGCGCCTGGTTCGAATTGGGACCGGAAGGAGGGTTGCTGCAGTGAAGTTTCGTGTTCGCCCCAAACTTTATTTTGTTGGTATTGATTTTCAGGTAAAAAAATTTCAATGTTAACTGTAGGCTCCATTTCTGTATTTTCGGGGAATGCAGAGAGGAACTTAGAGCTGCTAACATGACACTAACAGTGGGTGGGGATGCTACACTGAGGACTAAATAGCATAATCTTTTGAAGCACATGGAGTTTCACCAGCCATTTCCCCCCTTCTACGATGGGCTACAATGAGGAGCTAAATTCATGTGAGCTTCTTAATTTATATGATTTGGATTAATGTAATACTGTTTTCTTGGTTGTGTGCTTCTGCAACAGCTTCTCCCTTGCCTGCTGCTACGTTCAAATGGCCTCAGATATGTGTCTACCTACACGATAACACCCCATCTCTTTGTGCAGCTCTTTGAAGAAAAGTTATGGAAGGCAGTAGCTTGCTAGGACTGAGAAATGTTTGTTGCAGAATCTGATAAGCAACAAAGAGTTGGGATCAAATGCAGATAGTGGCTGGCTAATGCAGAACGTGTTATGTTCACCAACAGGTTACAGGTATGTAGGATGAGAAGTTAGAATACTTATGGGAGTGATTTGAAAAACCCAAGCTAAATCGACAAAATTTGAGAGCATCATGTTGTAAGCAGCTGTCCTTTAATTGATTTGATTATTTATCAGCTGTTTATTTCTTAGAGTTTTGTAACGGTTGAGTTTCATGGAAAAAGTAAATATTTCCATCCGAGATCATTTTTGCAGCTATGTAAGCTGGGTACTTGCTGTTGCTGATGCAAGTTTACTCCTCTCATCTCAATCTTTTCTCATCCTTGGCTACTTGGTTTTGGTTTACCTGAGCATGTTGTTAAAATCATCGGCTTTCGGTTTACTTGCAGTAGCTTTCTATTACAAATCCGGTTGTTTCATTTTATAAACAATGAGGCCATTATACTTCCATTAGGAAGACCAAATTTTTTTGTACTTTTTAAATTTTGTTTAAAATGGACAAAGGCTTGGTAGTTCAGTCTTTTGTCCGTCACTCTCAGTTAAGTAGTACAGCTTTATTGATTTACCTCTCTTATAAGCAGCTCTTCATCTTCCGGAATATCTAGCCCACTCATTTCAGTGGGTCTTTTTCTATCGTTAGGAATTTGTTGCTTCAGTCTGCCTTTGCAAGTTACAGTCTGTGTCTTGAATTCTATACTCAACTACAAAATGGAGGTAGATTTCTCATCTCTGGACTAGGCGTGTAAACTGGTTGGTTCGGATGTTTGAAGAACTGGAATGGGTCCATTTGCTACTTCTAGATTGTTGCCATCATCTCCGACTTTGAAAGTCATGTGTGCCCTAAATTGATAAGCTCTTGATGCAAATTTTACTTGGCCCGTTCGTAGACATCTTTAAGGGGATAGGGTCTTTATTTGCCAATAGTCCAAAGAAACTGAAAAATGTTTGTAAATGGGCTGGATGTGAAGCAAAAGGATAAAATAGTGGTAGTTTGAGTGTTGGTGATTCTACATTCCTATTCGTGTTATAATACCACATTCCCGTTTGTTTACGTCGTTTCTCATCAGCAATAGATCTTTATGATTTTGTGGTTCAGAAGTTCCTTGGTTTAAAGGCTAATTTCACAACTATAGCCATGAGAGAGGAATCTGAAGTCTCTGTGACCTCAATGCGTACTTTTATCAGTGAGCTACGATTAGACTTGCACTTCAACTCTAATCGTATGTTTGTTCTACCTTCGCACATTTTGTGTTTATCTTTCTTAGAGAAGCTAGGAATAAGATTCTACCTGTTGGTGCTTTGTAGCATCCTTTCAGAATCTATAAAAAAAAACTTATGATACAGCTTTATCCCTGTAGCTTCTACAGCGATTTGAAGTATGATTGCCAAATTAAGATTGAAACACCAAATACGAATTACACATTAGATTGAAACTGCGCATTTGCTTTAGTTGTTTTCCCTATTGAGCTGTGTTGTCATCGTGAATTCCCTACAATTGTGTGGTTAAGTAGGTCGTTAGACAAGTTCATTTGGTTTTTCTTGCTCTTAAACAATGTTTAGTTCTGCAGATGGCATAAGAAATGTTGCTGGATCACCATCAGCAAGCCTACTCTCGATTCTGAGATTCTTCCTTATTATGTCGCTGCACAACATCATCATGGGATGACATGGTGTGGGTTTACTTAATGCGTGAATATTACAAGTTGCAGGCGACAAGACTGCCACTTAATTACTGCAGACCAGGGGATGGAAGTTTTTTTTCGCAGGAACTGTCGGACTGGTGAATGGCTAATATACACAGTAACAAGTGGAAGCTGCATTTTTTGTGAGATTACAAATGTTAATTGCTGTTTAATTGGGTTTACGTATCTCATTTGAGAATCTCTTAGACGTGCCAACTGTTTTTTCATAAAAGGAGAAGATTCATTCATCATTCAATCCCGACGCCTTTAGGAAGGAGATACTACAAGAGGGAAGCAGATTGAGCATTCTAAAACAGCTCTGCCGAAGTTCATGAGAGTTGGGAAGAATGCTGCAGGGAGTGTGAACTTGGTGCAGTTCTAAAGTAAGATCTTGCTTTGATTATGTTTGTAGTGAGGTAAATACAACGTTCTTTGTGATTGAGTGGGAACATCATTTTGCCAAAGGCAGTGCGTTGCATTTTTCCTAAATTGTACATTGTTGTATAGTGCTAATGAAGGTTTGGTTTATGGGGCAGGTATCCAGTCTAGCTTGGACCAAGAATGCCAATGAGCTGGCGAGCATTGAGGGTACTCCTAGTATGCAAGTAAACAAATTGTGTTCTTGACGATGTGGTTTGGAGAGAGTGAAGCTAGTGTTGGGGAAACCTTTGTCAATGCTGGACAGTATGTACAATGTGTTCTTTTCTTTGATGAGCTCGACTGCGTTGCAACTTGGCTTGGCTATTGTTAATTGTGTCATGTTGTTGGTTTTGAATCTCATTTTCAATTGTATACTATTGCAGTGAGGAGGCAGTGTTGGGGAAACAGATATCTCCTGATGTTGTCGCTGCAACTACTGCTGTTGGGCTTGCTCTTGCAAATGAATGAGTGCAAGCGAGAGGGAGGAGTATGTGTGAAATATTTTTCTTATGGTTGTATATGTTGTAAGGGTGCTGAAAAATATTTTGCCGCAGTTAGGTAACTGTTGTATGCTTATCTCCGTGCTCCATGCAAGATTATCAACTGTGTTCACGGCTTCTTTGAAATGCATTCTTTTTACTTTTCTTCTCAATGGTACTCAGTGTGGTTTGCTACTGTGCTTATGTCAATTGTGTATGTAAGAATAGGTATTTTCCTTTTCCAAAATATGAAAAGCAACTAATATTTAGCACTTCTTCCTTGCTGCACATACTGTCCCTGCGGCGTAGCCGCGGGTATTGATCCTAGTAATCATGAAAGACACACCAAGCTGCTGTCACATTGTGGCTCTGCCATATCCTGGCCGTGGCCACATCAATCCTATGATGAATTTCTGCAGGCTACTGGTTTCCAAGCCCAATACTACTCTTCTCGTCACCATCGTGGTTACTGAAGAATGGCTCGGATTTCTGGGTTCAGAGGAGACCTCAGGAAGTGAGAAAATTCGTTTCAGAACCATACCTAATGTCATTCCATCTGAGCTGGTTCGAGCTGCGGATATGGAGAAGTTCATCCGAGCTTTGAACACAGAGATGGAACCCCACTTCGAGCAGCTTCTTGATCAGTTGGATCCCCCAGCTTCTCTCATCATGGCCGATACTCTCCTGTCGTGGACCGTCTGCTTGGGGAACCGGAGAAATATTCCGGTGGCGTCATTTTGGTGCATGTCGGCCACCGTGTTTTCACTCTTCCACCACTGGGACCTTTTCACACAGAATGGGCACTTCCCTGTTAAGTTATCAGGTGAGCCAGCCTTTTATGTTCTTCAACTTCAGAGGATGTATGATGTATGTGTCTGCTTTTGTTAACTATGCATCTCGAAATGTTGTTTTTTCTTCTTCCTAGAGAAAGGGCATCAGCTAGTATGCTAGTATAATAATTAGATAATAATGACATTCCCTATGCTAGCTTGGATGTTTCCTCACCCAACCCATTTAATAGTTGAGAGAGCAGAATGTTCGAAATGCAAAAGAAGATATATAATTTGCTCTGATAGATAATTAAAATATGCATTAAACCACAACGATTACAACGCCATAACTACAACGCTGATACCAAGAGGCTTGCACAACCGGATTCTTTTTTTTTGGTAGCAACCGGATTCTGGACCGCTAAAACTTGTTTATTTCTATAGCAAACTAACTGCGGTTGTCCTTGTATGTGGAAATCAGCACTTGACTCCTTCATTGTCATGGACGATGGTGGCATTCGCGCTACCAATCTTCCTAAAATAACACACCTTGCCATTGCCATCCACGCTCCGGTACTTGTATGACTGCTTCAACCCTTGTGATGCAGCATTCCAAGTGTAGTTGTCGATCGCCCAAACGCTGCTGCCACGCTGCTGATCTTCCAATGTGCTAGTCTTGAAATCGGAACGCGATTTCGATTTCTTGTATGTTTTCTTATCGACGTACCCCGTGGTCAGGTCGAGCGTGTTGATGGCGTTTCCTTTTCCTTCCAGAATCCGTACTTGCCGCTTCATCGCCAGGCTGAAGTTCTTCGCAGACTCGAACGAGTATCGATTGTCGTCATCACTGGTCGCGAACGAGACGCTGTCGTTCGACAGAATCAGTTGCTGCACAGTGGCAGCGCCGAGCTTCTGGTCCATGTAATTGGTGTAGGACAGGTTCTGGTTGACACGAGTAGTGATGTTTCCGTATGAGGATTGGACCCAACCTTGTGAAGATGTCATCCTATGAGCTTCAATCCATGATTCCCCAAGCGGCACCTGCATCCTCAACATTGATGTGAAATTGAGTCGTTGGTCGAAGCTTGAAACGAGCTTCCCCTTCGTCCTCTGGCTTTTCCGGTCCAGCCAGAGGTGCAAGTTTGCACCGACGTACCATACATTGATCGCGTTCCCGATGCTGAAACTGAAATTGTGCACCCCTCCATCTAGGAGATTGCCTAGAAACGGGGTCAATTCGAAGTCGTAGGAAGGGAGATCGAAGGAGCGAGTGCTGGCGACAGGGTTGAATATGTTGTCCAATGCATCGTAGATCACTGGAAACGGCCAGATTGCACCTACTCTGTCATCGTCGAGGTTGATGACCACATCTCTGAAAGGACCATCCCCTGGCTCGTCGTCAAGATGGTCAATGTTGTAATATTCCGTCGGATAGTTCCAGTACCAGGCCTCGTCGACATTGTGAGCCGACACATAAACCTCTAGCACTGCCCTGTAAGCATTCCGAGGAATCTCGAAGCTCGCCAGCTTCACATCGGTCGAGTTCTCAATTTGAAACCAAAACCCATCTTTCGATTTGAGATCCCCTGAAATGGGTAGTATGAGATCGGCCTTGGACTCACTTCCGAATCCCAAATCGATCATGTTGTTGGGTGGATTATTATGTGCAGCAGCAATTCTGCTCGACTTGCGATTATCCGTAGGATAAAATAAGATGAACATTGTGATGCGATAGACTCTAGCATCTTGGCTAACAGGATGGCGAAAGGAAACAACAAGCTCCTGCGCCTCTTTCTTGAGAAGCAAGGAAGAGTACCTCGTGACGTCCTTACTTGCTGTCCAAGCAACCGATGTGTTGACCCCCTGCGCGGGTGAGCTCCGGAGGATCTCCACGCCTCCAAGCCAGACTCCGAAGACCGTGTCTATCTGTGTCCAGTTGCAGGCTCCATTCCATTCCAGGACGATCTTGGAGAAATTGGTGGAAGCACAATGTGAAGAGCTAGGGGGAGCGTAGTTGATAGTGACCGATGAGTGGTTACCGGTCTGGCTACTGGTGGAGCCGAAGTCGTGTTGAAGGAGGAGTTTCTTGCAAGGCAAGGTATTGGGGACGTCGATCGGTTTGGTTACTTGGAAACCGGTGTTTGGTTTGGTAGGGTGTACTTTTGGTGGTTTGCTCATTGAGCGTGTGGATACATTGACGGAGTAGAGGTTGAACAGGTTGGGCCAACTAGTGAATAAGCCATGGAGGTTTGAGTTGGCGACTGGGTTGAGTGGGCAGAGGATGATTGTGATGAACAGGACCCAAAGGTGGAGTGGAGAGGAGCAAGGCATCGTACCAAATTGTTATGAGTTGAAGAGCTATCGATGTATTGTCTTCTATTTCCTCTTCTTATAACGGGAAAACAAGAGTGCCGTCTAGATCATGTATTAGTATAGTTAATTACTGCTGGACTTAGTGCATCGACCATAAAAACACACAGACAAATTACATAGAAATAATCATCCACTCTGTTTGATATTAAATGGCTTTTTGCTAGCGGAAAATGTTAATCTTTTTTATAACTGGAAAATGTTAATTTTTTAGTTAGGACATACCTGAAGAACAGCAAAAGCAGAATTCTTTTATTTATTTAGTTAGAAGAAGGCTTTCCTTGTCTTATATAGTTCTATTGTAATTGCAGGAGAGAAAGTAAAAGGAGTGATTTGTAACCACCAAGGTTGTCAACCCGCGGGTTGATCCGGACCCAGTCGAGCTAGTGGGTCAAGGGTTAATGGGTCAACCGTTTTAGCCTGGTTTGGCCCGAAAATATGGAAATGTCATTATATTGTACTTATCCTCATAAATTATATAAAATCTTATTTAACATATGAGTTATAACATATAATATTACACCAAAATAACATATCGTATATAGATCCAACATGTAGTGAAAATTCATACACACTTATATAACATAAATATTCAAATGTTCAACTTAGCATTCCAAAAATTGAGCTAGGCAAAAAGAAAAATCGGAAAATAGGCGCATTTCGCAAACCAAAGAAAAAAATGATACAATTTGACCTCCAACCCGGTACCTTGTAGCGGTCGGCCCGGAGGGTGCGTGCCGCCCGTTTTTCTCACCGGGTCAGGGTCAAATTGGGTCGACCCGCGAGTCGACCCGCGGGTTAACAACCTTGGTAACCACCAAGGTTCTGACCGTGGCCCCACCATTGAATAAAGATATATGGAATTTACCAAACATCAAATTGAATTTGTTGATATTAGTTATTATATTATGGGACTAAGATTGAGATTAAAATTGAATTTAGTGTTATTTTGAATTTAGTTAATGGTGACTACTTCGGTGCACTCACAAAAATGAATGCGTTCAATGCACCCAACTAAAAACTAGTATCAAAGTGTCGGATTTTGAATTTTAATTTGTAGAATTAGTGTAATATGATGATATAACATATCATAACAACTAATTAGCGAATTGCCCTAAGCCCTAGACCTCCAATTTTGAGTTCTATCTCTAAACCCCAAAGTGTAAACCCTAACCCTAACGCTAAATCTCTAAACCCTAAATCCTTCAAATTAATGTAAATCTTCAATGGTTTTTGTGCAAATTCATGTGTGTTATTGTTCATCACATCATAAGTGATCATTGACATCATTTTGACATAAATCGCATGTTTCAAATGACGGCTATCAAGCGAGTGCACTGAATGCACCTAAAAAAGTGAGTGCACCGAAAACGCCACCTTTAGTTAATATATTCACTAACCGGTGGTTATCGGTTGTTAACCGATCTAACCGACCAACCATCCCTTTGACCTCTCACTTCCCCCAAGTCCTTCATCCTCCCGATCCCCACCTTCCTCTACCTCTCCGCCCAGCTCCTTCCTTCCGAGCCAGGCCTCAAATCTTCCTCTAACTCATAACCAACCTCCTTCCTTCCTCTAAATCGTCCTCGCCTCCCCTTCTCCAGCAAAATCCCACACAAACCGTAAATCCTTTCCATCTCAATTCTCCCAAATTTTGACCTCGCGACCCCTTATCTTTGCTCCGCTAGCGGCACTTGCGAGACTGCAAAATTGCTTGCGAAACCCTCGTAGATGACGCCAATAAATTAATATCGTAGTCGTCGGCGCCTCCCCGTCTACCTTGTCGTCGCTAATCGAAATCGCAGGCTCGCCGTAGTCCTTCACATCGAAATCTTCCATGGCCTTCTTCCTCTACCTCTTTGACTTCCAGTGACATGCATGAGCATGGCAAGGAGAGGCAGGCTTGACCGCTAGAGAAGAGATGCCCAAACCACCACCGGAGCACCACCGTCCACATCCCCACTCCGCCGCGCATCAGTCCAATCACAGAAATCGCCATCGTCCACATCCTCACCTTGCCCGTCGCTCTGAATCCCCAATTTCCAGGCCTTCTCGGCTAACCGCCCATCCCACCGAAACAGTCGACTGCGGTTATCGGCTAACCGATAGTCGGTGGAGGTTGGGGATTTCACCTCCTTCTCGGCATCGGCTAACCGAATTTGCGGTGCGTTTAAACTATAACCGCATCGAGTAATAGGCCTATATATAGGGTTGAAGTTTGATATCGGTATATGGGATTTACCAAACATCAAATTGAATTTGTTGATATTAGTTATTATATTATGGGACTAAGATTGAGATTAAAATTGAATTTGTTTTTTTATAATGGTGAAAATTGCATTGCCAAGAGAACGGAATACAAACAGAAAGGCGATGGTTCAAGGGGATTGAACCAAGACCCAAGTTCGACGAGCAACAAGAATGAAAACAATTCGGGTCAATCCGCTCCTGATAGTGAGTAAATCCTTTCCATCTCTATTCAACTTAAGCTCCTGATAGTGAGTATTATGAGGAGATTATGAGATTTTAAATTAGAGATTATGAAATTGAAATTGATATATTCCAAAATTTTGATAAATACCAAAATATATGATAGTGAGTATTTTATCACTTTCAACTAGACTCTTTCATTTACTACTACCAGCCTCTCAATAACCAAAATGACAACTTATTTGTACATAGTTCATTCTCTCACATTTTGATCACCCAAATCAAACTCATTTTCTTGCTTGTGGTAGGGTTGGCTATTTGGTCCCAGCTTTTTGGTTTTACCCGAAACCAGACCATATAACCCGGATCGAGACCGGACCGAGACCGGATAGCAAACTAGCCAATCCAATTTTCGGGCCTAGATTTGAGGTAAAAAAACCGTTTGGTACCGGACCAAAAACCGAATAAAGACCGGATAAGAGAGCCCAACACCCAAAATTTAACCTACTCGCCCTTTCAGGCCTTAGGCCACTCAAATCCCTACAAGCTCAATCTAAAATCAAGATCGAATTGGGACTAGACCAGTTCAAGACCTGAACGGATCAAGACCGGACTGTATCAAATCCAATCTTTGGTCCTTATATTCTATAAAAGACCGGACTGGGACTGGATCAATTCGGGCCAATTTAACCGGACAAGACCATATATCCACCCCTAGCTTGTAGTATGTTTATGTGACAAATCTTATGTTTGGTTTTTTCATATGATCTATTCGATAATTGTTTGTTATGGATTACATGAGTTTGGATTCCATTTCATATCAGTTGAGATTTTGACCTAGGAGGGAGAAAATCCCCTTTTAGTAGGGTCACTCTTCATTTTATGTCATCCGGCTAATCCTTCGAGGGAGTCAATTCGATCTTTCTCCTAACGATATAAGGTTACCTTAAGTTGAATAGAGCACCTACCAATCCATCACTTCACCATTATAGGTCAATCCCGAGAGATTCAATCTTCTAACGGTAGGAATATCGAGTCAATCAACCTAAGATGGTACGCAATATAGGTCTAAATGTTGGAACTAAGGGGATTTAAACTAAGAGAGCTCCAAACTTGTAATTAGCTTAGAGTAGCTTTTTAATTGCTATTCTAGGTTGCCTAGATAACGGAACCTTAAGCCGAAGTAAGGTACACCTAGAGATCCGTGGTTTGATAATTTTATTACTTCCTTACCCTATGCTACACCCGGTTGTCGGTTACGCTTGGCCTTCGATTAAGAAGTTGTAGTTAGTGGGAGTCAGGTAGCTGATGAGATATTTTTGCTTTTATATATTTGATTGGTACTTTTGAAGGTAATTAATTTGGTATTTGATATATACCGATATCGAACAAAATATTATGAATTGGGATTGATATTTAGATTGAATTTAGTGCACTATTTGATATTTGAGATTTCAACATGTTACAGCAAAATTAATACCTTATCAATTTATGCCCCTAGATAAAGCCATATGACATGGTTATCAGAAGTTTTTGAATCTACTACCCCTCTTTCAAACAACTTGCTTGCTATCCCTGCTCGTCTATCCTTAGTTGTTGTGCCTAGCAAGTGAGAAAATATAATGCACTAACGAACACACTTTGCCCAGAAAGGATCAAAGCGAAAGCTCCATTCACACTTAGGTTCCTCTTCCTTCTCACTACGGGTATCACAAATGATAGGTCGATGTTCGGATCTCATCTTATCCAAATGTGTGACTCGAGCATTTGGGAAAATTATCCACCCAATGATTTGACGCAAAAAACCTGTCAAACCTTTCCTCGATGTACCCTCCATTCAGCCTCATATTCTCCCTTATGGAAATCCAACATATCTAATTTGTCCAGAGCTTGACCGTCGGTTCCCCCTCGTCATTTTTAATTCTATGTGTATAAATTTTTAGTCCCCTTCATTCGAATTTCTTACTCTGCCACTCACCTTCCCTCTTTTCCTTCATTTATTGTATCTCGTAAAAATTCGCACCACACAACCATGGACCAGACCACTAGATTGATAGCTAAGGAGAAGCGCCAACATGTTAGCCTTGTCTCCTGCTCCCAGCCAGCCATATAGCCCTCTAAGTCTCCAAGTCCACCAAAGTGGTGCCTCTCGGGCAATATTCACCACCTACGTAGCCGAATCCTTTGCAGGCCTCTTGATTCTTAGATTTAGTTTGTTTGATTTTCATTCTGAGATCCATTTGCAGGGCAATATTCAGCACACCTGCCTCTCGAACTTCCTTTGCAACTTCCATTCTCTCTTGACATAACAAACTAACAATGAGAACATTTGCTCACTAATAACTACAACTTAACTGTATTGAGAACCCACCCCCTGCCAATTTTGAAGACCAACCAATACTATGGTTCCCTGATTCCATTCAACATATCGCGGTTATCATTTCATTTTTCCAGGCCAATATCTTTTCTTTAAAATGCACGAGTCTATTAGTTTCCCTTTTATGTTCATTTAGAAGTGATGGAATCATTAAAATAATTGTATTATCATAAGAAAATAGTGGAGATAATGATCTCTATCTTGGCCTATCCATCCGAATTTCTTGTTCTAAACAGGATTTCTTCCGATATATTGAAAATAACCTGCTTAGGAAAACTCAACGGCGGAAGTCTCAATCCATGACTTTGGCCACTAAGAAAAATAATTCTTAAATCTGTTGGTTTTTCCTCTCCCAATTATGCCATGTCCAGTTTCCGTAACCGTCCTCCTTTTGTCGCAGGCTCACTGGACATTTGACTCGATTTTGATGGGCTTCCCAGGACAAGGAGAATGGGATGCGATGGGCTTCCTGTCGTGAACTCTACTATCCAAAGGCTGAGGAAGGACTAGGTTTTGGTGACCTTGATAGTACAAATATTGCCCTCCTTGCTAAGCACACTTGGCGGATTGTCCAAAATCCTGATAGTCTCTTAGCCATCAACTATAAAGGTAGGTATTTCCCTCACTCTTCCTTTATACTTGCTCCTCAGGGTTCTAGGCCTTCCTGAACTTGGAAAGGTATCTTGTGGGTCGCTCTCTTCTGCAATCCGGCTTTTGTTGGCGCATTGGTTCGGGTGCTTCGATAAACATCTTGGAAGACACATGGCTACCTACGACCCCTCCATTTCGGCCTATTCTCCTGCCTAATGTCTCTTTACTTGGGCCCCATGTATCTTCGTTGATCCATCATGGATCCAGAAGTTAGCAGGTACCTCTCATCACCTCTCTGTTTGATGTGGATACAGTTGGAATTATCATATCTATTCCTCTTCCCAATTTTCCCGTGTCCGACCTTTTTTATTGCACTATGAAAAATCAAGTGAGTACTCTGTTAAATCAGGGTGTTTTTCACTCTAGAAACTTGTTTAACATCCAGTATCAAAGGACAGTGGTCTGAGATAGAAAGGTGCGTAGAGTATGGTAGTTGGGTGCTTGTCTATCTAGCTTATAAAAGGGAGATGTGAATCGAAGGCATAAAGGGTGGCCTCTGCTGATTATATTCATAACCCTTCTGCCATTCCTCCTATCTTTAATTATTCGGATTGGAATTTTTTATGGTCCTTGAATGTTCCTCCTAAATTAGGTTTTTTTCTCTGGTGTGTCATTAAAGGCTACCTTCTCTTGCGAGATATAGTCAGAGAGAAAGAACTGATTCATGACGAGGATTTGGAGGCTATAAAGTGCCCTGCTTATGAAGAAGCTCCTAAGACTTTATTGCATTCATTTATGCACTGCAGGGTGGCTGTGGAATGTTGGAACCTTGTTGGTCTTAATCATTTACGCTTACAGGTTTACAATATGCATGTATCAGTGGGCTAGCGGTGGTTCTTTTTTCATGCAGGTATATCCAAGGATGTTCTCAGCCGGCTAGTCTTTGCGTACTGAAAAATTTGGAAGACTCGGTGCTCTACTACTTATGATCATGTCGAATTCCTCCCAACCACCATGGTGCGACATTTCCAAACCCAAGTGAAGGAATGGTCCTCTACTCAAACAACGTTGGCCGCATCCAATAATCGCCGTGCTAATGTTCCTCCTTGAATTCGCAGTCACACTCCACCACCAATTACGCCGAGTTCTTTCTTAGTCCATTTTGATGGCGCGACAAAAACCACTATTGGGTGAGGAGATGGCTTCGTTGATTATTCAGGACCAACTGATATTCACTTTGCATTTGGGAAATTTTATGACTTTATGGATAACACATCCATCATTGAGTTCATGGCCCTCCGTGATGCTCTCCGGTGGTGTCTTTCTAAATTGATCTCTAATGTCTCATTCTGTGGTGACACACAAGTGATAATTCAAATGATTAATCTAAAGGTTTCAAGCCATATTTTGGATGGTAGCCTCCTTTTAGAGATTCAGGCGCTTCGTGTTTCCATGCAGCGTGCATAGTTTCACTTCGCTTCGTGTAAGTACAATAGGACTGCCCATATCATGGTGAAACAAACCCTCTCATCGTTGGATCGTTGGTTGGTCGACCAACAACTCTTCTTTACTTCCTCTTTGTAATTGACCTGGAAAGGTCCTTTTTATGTCATATCTATTGTATTCCCTTTCGAGATATCTTTGAAAAAAGGTCTACTATTGGAAGTTTAAGTGTTTAACATTAATTATATGTATAATAGGGTTGCCCATATCGTGGCAAAACAAGCACTCTCATCATTGGATCACCGGTTGGTCAACCAACAGCTCTTCCGTACTTCCTCTTTGTAATTGACCTGCAAGGTCCTTTTTTATGTCGTATCTGTTGTATTCCCTTTCAGATATCTTTTAAAAAAAAAGGTCTGCTATTGGAAGTTTAAGTGTTTAAAAGTAATTAAGGATGTGAGCAGAGCACCTCATATGAAGCAGTGTTCCATCCCTAATCAAATTAGATAGAACGAGCCTTTATTTAACTATATTGATCATGGAATCATTGGTAGTGCAATTGTCAAGAGTAATTGTTGACAATGTACTATTAATGTTCCATGGTTGGAGGCATTTGGCAAGCTTTGCAGCCAACCTCTCATTATTGTGTGGGGCAGGGAGATAACCAAACATAATCAGATGGTTCCTAAGATTCCAAAAATTATCTATGTAATGGGCAGGTCACAACCATATAAGTCCTTTTCTGGTTTGTGGCAGTCCACAAGTTAGTTGTGACATCAATCCTTCCTTTGTATTGGTCCATGACCCTTTGAATTTTAGACTTCTCTAAACCATAAATAGTCACGATGTCTTTTTTTATGGTATTTCGGGTTGGGACTTTGAATAGAGGGGTTCAAAGTGCAGTAAAACCTTTCGAAGTAAAGGTGGTCAACAATAGAAAGGGTATACTCATGCACCAAGATCATGGTGCAGAAGCTCCTTTCTAGACACCTCACTTCTGGATTGATTGGTACTCATGTCAAATGTACCATTGACATTGTGGTTAGCACCCAGAATTTTTGACTCCCATCGTGTATTTTCTTATGAACACATTTGTTCCTATGAGTGCTAAAATGGGAGGTACCACTACTAGATTTCCCAGCTAACACCTTCTTATATAGTGGCACTTAGCTTTCAATATCCCATTTACCATCATCCTAGTGAAGTGAGGATAGACGTCAGGCTTTAATGACCTTCTAGCACCTAAGGGAAGTCGAGGAAGAACATCTTCCGGATGTTTATCAAGATTACCAGGAGCAGGAGCATCAACATCAACATGTGCATTCTCAAGTTGTACAGGTTCCATCTGGTTAAGAGGAAGAAATAACAAAAATGTTTTAGAAAGAAGTCCAGTGATGTTCGTATTATTTAATTCAAACATATTAGGAGTTTAGTCATTACAGATTATGATTTAGCACTACTGCATAAAAAGTTTCTAACTTAACAGATTAGAACAAGATTAAGAGATTAGAGTAATTTAGAGATTAGCAGTTTAACGTTGAGCAAATTAAGGGAAGTTGTGTTTAACATTATTGGATTAGTGGATTAGCAGTTTTGAACTTAACACTCAATATGTGTTAAGTTTAGCTTAAACAAATTAACAAAGTGACTAAGTGAGCGTTAGCATATTACATGTGTTTGAACTTAGTATATTAGATGTGTTTAGTGTAGGTACAACAACTTCAATTGAGTAATTGACCAGTTTCGCTACATGTGATTAATCTAGCATATGGGTGTGTTCAATTTCGCTACATCCTCTTCAATTGGCCAGTTTCGAAAATAGCATGTGATTGCTCTATGAACAACCAACACCAAACAAGGGTCGTCGACTTACCTCAGCAGAGAGAAAACTGTAGTTCAAGCACCAGATGCTTGACAAGACTCCCAAACAGCAAGCTACAGAAACAAAAGAGCAGGAAAATGAAGGCATTAGAATGAAGGCATTAGCATTTCTTATAACGACAAACTAAGTAACAAGTAATGAAATGAACTACAATATACTAAACTTACTGAAAATTTGGGAAGGCCACTATAGTTGAAGCACCAGCTGTTGCCTGCTTGATGAGACTCGCGAGCAAAAAGCTGCAAAAAGCCAAAAACAAAAGAGCAAGAAAAATTAAAGCATTAGCTTTTCTGTTTCTGGCAAACTAAGCAAGCCACCATAAAAAAATAATGAACGAAGTAATGGGAAATAAACTTACTGAGAAGATTGAATGACGGAAGGGGGATTTTGAATTCTAGAAGGCTTGCGTCTCTAGATTTAGGGTTCGAATTCTAGAGCACCAGTTTATGGAATTAGGGTTCGACTTTGATAAACTGCAGATGAAAAAAACGATGCAATTAGTCACCTATTTATACATGTATAAGCACAACTGGATTAAGGAAAGAAAGAATCGAATACTTATCTCGAATTCTCGATCTAGGAAAGAAATTGTCTGTATGCACGATTCTAGTTTCGTGTTTCGTCGATTGAGACATTTCCGATGACTAGGGGCACTATTAAGGGTAAGGTCCAGAGTTATAGGTGATGGGATCGCCGATTTTGGTGGGAAATCAGTTGAGAAAGGAGGAGAATTCGTTGGAATCGTAAGGATTTACAGAGAAATAATCAATTCAATGGTTTAGGGTTGAGAGGAAATCGGGGGAAAAACGGTGGTTGAGTTGGTGAAAATGGCTTCTGAATACCCTAACCCTAAATTACAGTTTTATATATGGTATGGAAACGACGACGTTTTACTATCGAGCCGGGTACTGTGCAGGGATCACACGATCCGTCCCCCTGCCCATCACCGTCTTCTGCGGGTCACGGGTACGCCCGTACCGCCAAAATACCCGACCTCGTGGGTTTTGGCCAATTACTCGCGGGCGGGCCCTGCGGATGCCCAATGTCCGCGGGCCTATTGCCATACCTATTATTTTGTTTGTTTTTTTCAAAAGAATTGAAATCATGGTAGGTGATCGTATCAGAGGTAACATTTTAGAGCACTTTACAAATATTAGAGCGGAATTGGAGGATTGTATGAGGATCAACGCAACTATTGCATGAAACATTTTAGCTACGTAATAGATGCATTTAGAGAAATATTTGAGATAATTAAGAGTCTCATGTCGCAAATTATGTATTATGTTTTGAAGATTTGACGATGTAGTTGTTTCTAAGATTGCTGTTGTGAATTATGTATGATGTATTCAGTGGCGGAGTCAGGATTTAAAAGTACCCGTGTCCTCTTTTCAAAATATAAATATATAAATAATAAATTAATTATTTAATAATTATAATTAATAATTATAATTAATTACTGCTGCTGGTCGCCGATGGCTTGAGGATGGAAGGTGGAGGCGACGAACTGACGAGGCGAGGAGCTGAGGAAGCCAGGCAGCCGCCCGCTGACGAGGGAAAGGACGAAAGCCACCGGGCAGGAGGACGGAAGTCGCGTCATGCCGTTCGCTGCTTGCCTGTTTCAGTCGCGTTTGTCTTATGATTATAGTATGGAATAAATAACTTTTATGTTGAACTATTTATCAAGAATGACTTGTGCTGTAGTGGTAGAACAGTTCATTATAATGTTGTGATCATCAGTTTGGAACCTGGCATAAACATATGTTGTGGGTATTTTTTATCACCCAGAAGTTAAGTGTGTCCCAGGACGAGCACTTCTACTATACTATATAGTATTGGTTCTTTAATTTACAACTTAAAGTTGTATCATAACATTAAATGTATAAGTTTAGGTTGTACCATAAAGCAATTTGTACCATTATGTTATGGTACAACTTTACAACTTCAAGTTGTACCATCACATAAAGGTACAAGTTCAAGTTGTACCGTAAAATAATTTGTACAAAAAGTATAGGTACAATTTTAAGTTGTACCATAACGTAAATGTACAATTTTAAGTTGTACCATAAAAGAAAAACCCTATAGCACCAATACTATATAGTATTGTAAAATTTCTCATCCCATGACACATTCAATTTCTTCTCCGTCCGCCTATGCATGTATTGTAGTTGTGTTTAACAGTATTTTACATTTTGCATCATATACTTCATTACTTATCAATTTGATTATCACAATGTCTATAGATGATGGTTTAGGAGTTTAGCATTTAATGAAGTCAATCTTTATATTAGAACTTGTTATAGACTTATAGGACACGACTAATTGTCTATAATATTTGAAAACCTATCATGGGTTGTCATCTCAAACATCACTCTGACTATCTCATATGCACGTTATTTCACATTATATATCATATACTTAATTACTTACCAATTTCATTATTACAATATTAACATATGATGGTTTATGAGTTTAGCATTTAATAACTAAATCATTTACTATAATAAACCTTATTATGGCTTTATAGGACATGACTACATGGTTACAATACATTTAAGAACCTACAACGTGACATCCCAGTATCCTATATGATCTAATTATTCTATCACAAGTACATTATAATCAGAATAGATTTTAAATACATTTATTTTAGTTTTACATTGATCTAATTATACGAACTAATTATAAATTTCAGGCTAAACAATTTCTACAAGAAAACAAATACCTAGTTACAAATTAGAAGGATTTACTCATCATTTAATTGTACATTAAAAAACATGCCAACACCAAAAATCATAATAAACTATTAGTATATAAATTATATCAAGTTTTTTTTCTAAATTTATTCATATAAAATATTGTGTTTCATATTTCTAAATTATAATATTTGATATTAAATATGAATCTTATCTTCGTAAATTTAGATAGTAAATAATATTAGATATATAGATGAAAAGGCTTTATTTTATCGATTGATTTATATATGCCTATGGTAGTAATAAGATATATATTAGTTGTGAACAGGAGTTTTTTAGCAGGAGATAATTTGGTTGATCACCCTCAGTTTCGTAAAAATCGTCGAGTGAGAATGTGAGAGTGACCCTCCGACCAAATGCATCTTGTACAGATATAGTAATGGAATCTTAATTCTGCATAAAAATTATCCAGATCGGCAAACAACTAACAAGATGGACGACAACAGGCATACCATTCTATAATGTATATCATCCTTGAATAGAAAATGCCGACACCAGAGATGGAGTGGAAAGGCTTGTATGTTATCGATTGGGATATTGTAGTATTAAATGGGTTTTCCCCCGTTACATAACATATTAAATGAATTTTTTTCAGTAGGAGTTAATTTGATCGAAAACTGTGTTTGGAGAATTGGAATATAATTATTAGAATTTTAGCGAATTCAAATACTTCAATTCTCATCGTTTTTTTAAAGGGTAAATGACACATTTGGTCACTGAGATTATTAAATTGTGTCATGTTTAGTCACTAGAAAAAATTAATATCAATTTTGGTCACTCGAATTACCGAAACTGGTCAAATTTAGTCACTCTCCCGTCAGTTTCCGTCCAACTCCATTAATGTAGTTGGACGGAAACTTTTGGGAGAGTGACTAAATGTGACATGTTTCAGTAATACGAGTGACTAAATGTGACATTTTTCAATAATTCGAGTGCCCGGAGTTGGACAGAGGCTACAGAAGAGTGACCAAATGTGACCTGTGTCAGTAATTCGAGTGACCAAAATTGATATTAAATTTTTCTAGTGACTAAATATGACACTATTTAGTAATCTCAGTGACCAAATGTGTCATTTACCCTTTTTTTAAATAGAGCCTAATAATTTTTTTTAATGTATAATAAACTTATTGTTTGATAGCTTTGGATTCTTTGATATAATGTATATTCTTTGATATAATTCAGAAGTGGAGATCTTTCTCTAAACTCTAATGTCTTGTTTTATTTAAATATGAATGTTGGCATTTAATGTTGTCTTTGAATATGAGGATGTCATTTTGTTTATAATTTTTTATCTTCTTAAATACGTATGTAAATTTCAGTGAGATTATCTTGAGATATGTTATATATATATATATATATATATATGTGTAATTAATTTAGTTTAATGAGCTTCCACTTTTCCTACATATTTTTATTGAAACTGGCTTAAAACAAACAGTTATACCTAGTTCGAATCATACAACTTGCTAAATTGTCTTAACGATGTTTGATAACTTAGCACATAACTGGAATCACCACGCCTTTTCAAAAGAAAAGGACCAATTATTAATGTTACTCTACAATATAATATTCATTTTGATATATTTTTGCATAATAAAATCCCAGGCACTACTACAATGTCTTGCCAGCCTCGTAATAATGTGTTATGATTATGATATGTTGAAAATATTTTATTTCAAAATATATCAAAATGAAAATCATGATATACGCACATCACAATCAATATATTATGCTTTTCAAAGAGATAATACACTCATGACGAATAGGGATCACCAAGGGATAAAATGAATAAGAAGAAGGACGAGAATACAAGCTCATGGGATCAAACATTGATGAATTTGGACATTAGATGCTCACTTTATGGCCAAAACAAAGCATATATTGTAGTGTAGCAAACCCAACTTTGACCGAGGTCCGACCGGAGCTATATAAGTTGAAACGCGCCCAAGTTGGGAGGAGAGGTTGCTTATGGGCCTAGAACCAATCCCAATTGGAAAAGAGGAGTCTTCCCCAATCGACGCACCCCCACTTCTCAAACCCTATGCTTCTAGAAGTTTTCCTTTGCACATTACTTCGCCCACAAGCTGAAAAAACCAACTTCAAGTCGGATAAGAAAGAATTTGGCTGAATTTAGGATGAAATATATTAGAAAACCCCTTATGTAACTAGTGCAAATAGGAGGCTAGGCTAGAGATTTATAAACGCCTTTTACTAGCACTCTGCCTAAGGGGCACGCGTTATAAATCCATAGAGAGGAGGCAAAGCCTACTAGAGCTCAACGAGGAGTATTCACCATCAATGCTTGTATTATTGGTGATATCTTCCTATTATCTTATGCCTAGCAAGCTCGAAATTGTTTAGGGAAGTGACTAGATGATGCTTTAAGTATTACTTTCAGTGATTCAATGATGATGCTTATTGTGCTCAATGGTTTTTTCATTGATGCTTGAGTTTATTTGTGTTTGTACCATCTATTGCATTAGTATTCAATTCTTTAGTCTTTGTATGCTTTAGTTAATCTGTGTGTGTGTCTCATATTGTATGCCACTATATCATCGTGTTTAGCATCATCTAGGTTGTTAAGAAATTACCCTCTAGTGATACACCATTGATGCTACAATAGTATAAACGGAATGACCAAACCATCTATAATTCAAGTAGTATCAATGCTTGATTTTTCGATCATCGATTCTATAGACCATCGATTATGGCTCATAGAGATCCATACTTAATCATGTGTATTCCAAACTTCCTTGTTCTTCATTGATTAGGTGATGACATGAAGTGAAAGCATGTATTAGCATGCACAAGTAGAGAGTGGCCTTAGAGGAAGCGATATGGCATCATAATAGATGATGCATACAAACATTTCATTGATTAGTTAGTATGCAAGACCATCTAGAGATGACTACCTATGCAATCCTTTTACTTGATTTACACGTTTGTATCCCTTCCATTGCATTGTTTACATCTTTGATTGTGTAGTAGCTTAAGATCTCAAATTCCATGGCAGCTCAACCCATTAGTTTTACTTTTCTTTGCATCTTTGTTCGGGCTTAATAGGTTGGCTTTGAGTATGTACTATCAAAAGGCCTCGTGGAATACAACCCTAGGCATCTTAAGGATTATTACACGATTTCTACATCAGGGACGAGTAGAAGACTCCTAGTATTTCATCTTGATCAAATTTGGGAGATAGAATAGTTTATTGTTTGCACTGTTTGATGCATAAAGTGCCTCAAGATTTCTTCATATCTTTTGCATCATTCTCAGCGGAAATATGATTCTACAATTTGTTTAACAAACTGTCGAATGTCGGTACACACTTGTTGATGCTCAAACTCCCAATCCTCGTATGTTCTGCCCTCAGGCTTAGCCGAGCTAAATATCGTTAATTGAAACTTCAAAACAAATATGAGATCGTTCATCTTGTTAATTTCTCCATATGTGATAGTTTGAGCCATTCAAACTAACCATCTTGTTTTTTCTTGCATCCATCGAGCATGGCTTTGATATCATGTGTTGGGCGGAGCAGGAGAAAATAGAAAGTAAATATATTGCACTAATAAACCATGCATAGTAAATATATCATATGTAAGTTGGAAATGGTGGCAGATCCTCTAAAGCTTATACAATCAACTTCTTTAGACTAATTTACTTCGGTATATGAATTATGAAATATACTACAACTATTCTCAAAATAGCTGCAAGTATAGGTAGTATTTAAATAAAACGAAGGATTTACGCGATATACCATTGATTTAGGGCCAGTCCACAGGAATAACAGCTTCAGAGATTTCTTCACTGTAGGTAGCTTGGTTGCTCGCCAATTATTGAGTGGTCATTTTGCAAGTATTTTTTACTTTTTTTAAATCGATTAATTGTTGGCTTGCCCTACATATCACATGTGTTGGGCCCCAACAATTCTCCCATGCACGACCACATGTGAGATTTTGTAATCCCTATTGTTGATCGACAGAACTCAAAATTTTCTATGGAAGAAGTCTTGGTACACATATCTGAGTCATTCTTATCCATATGGATCATCACTGATTATAATTGCTATCTCAAATATGTCTCAAATCTGGTGATACTGAACATCGATATGTTTTTATTGTGTATAAAATGAAGAATTCTTGGCAAGATAAATAACACTATGAATGTCACATAACAATTATGGTTGTTCCTATTGGAACCCGAGCTCTTTCAAGAACTTCTTCATCCATTACGTTGCTCCTATGTACTCAGCTTCTGTTGTGGAAAGAGCTACACACTTTTGTAGCATTGATTGCCATGATGTTGCTATATTTGATAAGGTAATGAAGTTTCAAAATGTAGACCTCCTTGGATCAACATCATCTGCCATGTCAATATCTGTATAACATATAATGATGGGATTTTCAACTAAAAAAACTTCATCATTTTGGAGCTACCTCGAAGGTATCTGAGGATCGACTTCACAGTTTCTCAATGTGCCTTCCTAGTTTGGAAAGAAACTGACCGATAAATCTGACTACGTGAGCAATATATGGTCTCGTACACACCATTTCGTACATTAAACATGCCACTGGTGAAGCATATGAAGCTTTATCCATCCACAAATTTTCCTTGTTAGTAGAGGGCTATGTTTAGATGTCAACGTAAATGGTTAGCAAGAGAACAACTAACCAATTTAGCATCTTCCATATTGAAACTTCGAAGTACTTTCTCAATGTACTTCTCTTGTGACGATCATATCCTCTTGATACCTAGATCCCAAATAATTTTTATGCCAAGAATCATGTTTGTTGGTCCCAAGTCGTTTTTGAAAAAAGACTTACTCAAATCCTTCTCTAAAGTATTTGATCTCGAAAACTTCCCGCCCAACAATCAACTTGTTATCCACATAGAGAAACAATATAATGAAATCTCCTTCATAAAAGTTCTTCACTAACACACAGTTATCTAAAGTAGTCTTCTTGTAGTCTTACTCCCCCATAACATACTCAAACTTATTATACCATTGTCTTGGTGTCTGCTTCAAACCACATATGCTATTTTTTTAGCCTGCAAATTGCTCATGTAAATATCTTCCTCTAAATCGCCATGAAGGATGACAGTCCACACCTTCTTTGGGGATTCATATTTCATATTCCACATGTAAAATTATGTAAATAGTGCCTCCCTCCTGAAAGATTGTATTAGCTTCGACCTTTGAATATGATAACAAGCACCTAACTCTAGCTCGCTAGTAGGGTCTTATTCACCATCTCAGCTAGACCATTCAATTAAAGTGTTTTTAGTGGTGTATATTGGTGTCGAATTCCATGATCCTTTGAAAAGGTGGAAAACGAGACCTTTTTACTTTCCACCATTATCATTGCATATGCACTTCAACATCTTGTCAGTTTCCCTCTTCTTTAAGGCTAGGAACTGTTAGCACATATCTATGGCCTTATCCTTGATCTTCATGGTTTACACCTAGGTCTTCTATAAATGATCATCAATGAACTACCTCGCTAGGAGGGTCTAATTCACCCTCTTAGCTAGACCATTCTATTGCGGTGTTTTTAGTGGTGTATACTGGTGTCGAATTCCATACTCCTTGTAAAAGGTGGAAAACGAGATTTTTGTACTTTCCACCATTATCAGTGAGGATGCACTTCAACATCTTGTCAATTTCCTCTCTACCAAGGCCAGAAATTGTTACAAAATGTCTATGGTATTCTTCAAGGTGTGTACCTAAGTGATTTGGCACCAGTAAGTGATTTGTTGTTTCCATCGGGTTCATAGTGATTTAAGTGAACCAGATCCTGCACGTTCTTCGCCCTTGAAGGGAGTAAATTTTTGAAAGAAACTCGATTTTGCTTTTTTGCCAAGAAATCAACACATTTCTTCAAATGGACATGACCTAGTCCAGCTATGAATTTCTTATGGGGCAAATTCTCCAAAGCGTACTCACTAATGCGACCGAGCTGTTTGTGTCAGAACTCGCTTATGTCACCATTCTCCGCAGACAGGATAACCCAAGGTGAGATCTTAACTTCCGTCACATACATCTTTTGTATTTTCTTTCCCAAGGCCAACACGAAGGATTCTATCGTGAGTTTCTATTGGCTATTTTGGAAGGTGTTGCATTAACCTTCCTCATTCGACTTGTCTACAAATATTAGATTGAGGCACACTTTTGGAGCATGCCTGACATCCTTCAACTGCAACTTCATCCCATTCATCGTCTCCAAACAAACATCTCTTTTATCAATAACTTTGAGAAGATAATGAATTCCTATTCTTCCCGCACCAAAATCAACCGGTATGTAAGATGAGAAAATTTCTCCCTTGGACATCACGTAAATGATGATGCCATTGTCTGCCACATAGCTTGTCTTCTGGGTTGTCAGGTTTATAGCATCTTCCTCGTAGACAATAATGAACTCATCAATAAAGTTTGCACCATCATCCTCACTATTGTCATCTTTTTGGCCTTTCTCCTCTTTTTTCTGAAGTTTGGGAAAAGTCAGGGCCCAACCCTTGACAAACGTAGAGAACCAAAGCTTCAATGGTAATGGCCGGTAGAATAGAATGAGTTATAGATTGCCAACAACAACTTTCATTTTTGAATGAAATCTTGAGAGAGACGACCTTTCATTGTTATAACATGAAAACAAGATAAATTGGCACATCTTACACATCCCAAGCTAGTGTGGAGGAAGTGGCAGAGTTGATGGCAAGAGCGAGAGCTTTGAAAACATAAGCATGGATTAGGATAACATGGAACGGGAGATGATCTTGTCGGTACCAATGATATTGAGCTGGGTTTGGAGAAGTCCTCCATAACTAAACAACAATACACTTTTGCCTCAAACTCAAAAAGTTGCACAATATTTCGAATCAAATAGCTAGATCACACCCGACTACAACCCCACATGTGTGACAAAGAGTACTGTTTATTCATATTCTAAACAACACGAAATTGGTCTATTTAGCACACTTATTATTTTCCTTATCATAAACTATGCTGGCATTGAAGCTGCTTATGTTCCTAAAATAACACATCTTAGTATTGCCTTCGACATTCTGGTAGTGGTATGATTGATTCATAGCATCCAAGACGCTAAAGAACGAATAGTTCTTGAAAATCACAACCCTGCTGCCACTCTGTTGATCTTTCAAGCTATTTACTATGGTAGATTTGGAGTGGGGACTTTCATGTGTCTTCTTGTCACCGTACTCTATCTCGATGTTTATTTTGTCTAAGATATCTGCTTTCATCCTTTTTAGATCTTCCTTGTTAGTCAGATTAAAGGTCTTCATTGACTCGAAGGAGTAGAAGTTAATAGCAGCAAAATTATCTACGAACGAAACACTGTCATTTGAAAGAACCAACTGTTCTACCGTGGAGCTGAAGCAATCATCCTCATTTTTAGTGTCCATGTAGTTAGCATACAAAAAGTTTTGGCTAACACGAGTTGTGATATTACCGTGTGATGATTGTACCCGTCCTTGTGAAGATAAAACCCTATGTGCTTCGACCCACGATTTCCCAGCGAGTGCCAGCTTCATCTTCAGCTTCGAAGAGAGATCGAGTGGCTGGCTATAGCTCGACACGAATTTTCCATTTGTCCTGTTGCTTCTGTGATCCAACCAAAGGTGCAGGTTTTCGTCGATGTACCATACGTTCCCTGCATTCCCTATGCCAAAGCTCAAATTGTGGATCCCTCCGTCTAGTAGAGTCCCCAAGAATGGTGTTAATTCGATGTCGTACGAAGGGAAATCGAAGTTGCGTATGCTGACTACAGGATTCCAGATATCATTCCCTGCACCATAGATGATAGGGTAAGGCCAGATTGCGCCTACTACAATCATATCATCCAAGGTGATCACCACGTCTCTGAAAGGCTCATTTCCAACCTCGTCCCTGAATTGGTTGAAATTGTAGAACTCGGATTAATATTGCGAGTACCAGGATTGTCCGTCGTGGTGGGGTGACACATAAACCTCTAGCACAGCTCTGTAAGCGTTTTGAGGAACCCTGAATCCCTCGCGTTTCAGGTCGGTAGAGTTCTCAATTTGAAACCACAATCCATCGTCTTTGGACTCGAGATTTTGAGAAATGGGTAGGATTAAATCCGCCTTGGACTCGGTCTGGAACCGTTTGTTAATACTTGACTTGTGCTCAAGAGGGTAAAATGAGATGCTAATTGCGAGGTGATAAACAGCGATGAAGTTCTTACCGAGATTAATACTAGTTCGAAAGAAGACGATCAGATTCTGCTTCACTTTCTTGAGCAGCAAGGAAGAGTACCTCGTGATATCCTTTTGTGCTGCCCAAGTTATGGATGTGTTCAACCCTTGAGCAGAGGAGCTCCACTCCTCCCAACCAAACTGTGAATACCTGATAGACCGTTAATTGCACATGTTTTTACCCCTATTCTTACACCATTTGAGATGTTAATTCTCGTGTTTTAGGCCGATTTCACGCTAGGTTGTTCTTGTTTGTGATATTTCAGGTCCTAGTACGTGAATGAAGGCTTGGGAGCGAGTTTGGGGTCGATTGGACGAAGATCGGACGGGTGGCGAGGTGCTGAGGAGGCCACACGGGCACTTCTAAAACCCACCCGGCCGTGCAAGTCATCCATGTGGCCGTGTGGGATTTAGCGAGGCTTCACACGGGCATGGTGGAAATTCCACACGGCCGTGTGCCCTTGCCCGTGTGGGAACCCTGAAGCCCAATTATTCGAGACGCAACGTTTTGGAACTCACACGGGCATCTGGGTAAGCCACACAACCGTGTGGCCTGCCCGTGTGATCAGGAAATCTAGGTTTTTACCCAATTTCGAGCCAAAAGTGAGGGAATCGACTTTTTGGAGCAAAAACAGAGCCCTAGAGAGAGAGTGCGAAGAACTCATCCTAAGAGTGGTTTTTGAGCTGAGTTTCATCAAATCAAGCTTGGAGATCATCATAGGAGTGAAAATCATCATCCCAGAGCAGATTCTTCTCATTGTTATGAGTATGACTGCTTTGTATTCTGTTTTCCCCTCTCTCTCTATGGAGTAGAACTTTCTCTCACTTGGGTATGAAGAACCCTAGTTCCATGTGTTAGGGATCTTGATTGTAATGACTTGGGATTGTTATACTGCTTGATTATAATCGAATGATGCATGATTCATTGAATTAATTGAAGTCTGATCAGCTTTTCTTGATTTCTGCTGCAACCTGAGATAGATAGAATCTGATTAGGTTGTTAGAGCTACATCATTCGGTAGTAGTGGATTGGCTATAAGAGAGTTAGCCAATCTACTGCTTTGTACTGGAATCCAATTCCAGTAGTGGAGTTCTGTGTTCATAGCCTCAGCTTTCTATTCCGGTGAAGACTAGTCGTCTGCCGGGTAGTTTGACTGAGAGGGCTTGGTCAGCTTAATAGATTCCAAGCAACTGTCGGATCTTCCGCAGTTTAATCAACATGAAATCAACCCAGGGTAATTACAAACTGAACCATTTCTTGCTTTCTTACTGCTTTTAGTTAAAACAACAAGCACTCGACTTAGTTTGCTAGATAATAGATAATCACGGAGTAGGCAGTAGATCTAGACCCCGGGTTGACATTAGAACTTGCCTGTTACTGCATTTCCGGACTGCGATTACGCTTGGTCGCAGTTTGGTGTTGTGTTTTAGCGTGTCAATACCCCTTCGTCCTGAGCTCCGTTGAAACTGCCCTTTGATTCCAATGCAATCTTGGAGAAATCATGGGAACCGCAGGTGGAAGGAGGGCCTTCATAATCCTTTGCAACTTGGGGGTTTTCGACGGTCGAGCTGAATTCGTGCTGGAGGAGGAGCTTCTTGCAGGGCACGGTATTAGGGACATGGATGGGTTTGGTTACTTGGAAAACAATGTTTGATTTTGCAGGTTGCTGCTTCAATGGTGATTTTCAATTGCCGAGAATGTGCCCATCTCCAGGGAGTTGTGGAAGAACCCTTTTAGTCTTTTGACGGTTGGGTTGGCATTAATGGAGTTAAAAGGGCAGAGGATGAGTAACAAGGACAAGAAGAAGAAGAAGAAGAAGAAGAAGAAGAAGAAGAAGAAGAAGAAGAAGAAGAAGAAGAAGAAGAAGAAGAAGAAGAAGAAGAAGAAGAAGAAGAAGAAGAAGAAGAAGAGATGTGGTGAAGAGAGGGGAAACCGAGTCTTCACGGGTTGCTTTTACTGGTTGTGTGCAGGTAGTGCATGACCCGTAGCCATTCGGGAGAACTACTACCATTAGACCAGGAGCTTGAACGGACCTGTAGGAACTTCAAGTGGGCTCTAAAGGCGCGACTGGCTGCGGAGGAGGCGCTAGCACAGCTGCAAATCACTGACGAAGAGTAGATGACTGACCCACAGGACCATGATGTGGTCATTCCTGAGGAGCAGACCATGGGATCCTACTGGACCGCCAGAGCCGCGGACATGAGGTCACCCATTCAACACCCTCATGTGATAGAGAACAACTTTGAGGTGAGCACCTCGGTCATCACGATGTTGCGCGGTTCGGAAGTGTTCTGTGGCAAGGAGGGGGAGTGCCCCCGATCGCATCTAAGGCGATTCCATGAGCTGATCGATGGAATCAAGATAAATGGGGTCCCAACCGATGCCATCCAGCTGAGGTACTTCCCATTTACTCTGGAGGGGCAGGCCAAGGAGTGGCTAGACACTCGACCTCCAGGCTCGATCACTACGTTCGCCAACCTGGCGAACAAGTTCCTCACTCGCTACCATCCCCCGCCCAAGACGGCAGACCTGCAGAAGCAAATCACCCACTTCACTCAAGACGAAGATGAGACCATCCGGGATGCTTGGGAGAGATACACCAGTCTCTTCCTCAAGTGCCCCAACCATGGTTTTACCGACGCCTTCAAGGTGGGCACCTTCTACCATGCTCTCTTCCCGGAGGATAAGCAGCTGATTGACTCGGTCTGTGGCGGGAATATGCTCACCAAAACGCCGCCACAGCTGAATCAACTTTTTGAAGAGATGGCAGAGTAGGGCTATGATTGGGGAACTTCCAGGAGATCGTGAAGAGCACCAGGGAGAGGTGTGCATGCTGTAGCCACCCAGTCATCTGATTTGGTGGAGGTGGTATCGAAGCTGGTTTCAGCTATCGATTGCTCTGGATTGATTACAGGTACAGGATAGCCGCAGGCGATGCACTTCCAGTGGTGTGAGAGCTCCCATCACATCGTGGAGGATTGTCAGGCGACGAGGGAGTCGTCTACTCCCCAGGAGCAGGTGGACTTCATTAGTAATGTCAGGCGCTTCGACCCCTACAGCAACACTTACAACGAGGGGTGGTACCAGCATCCTAACTTCTCTTGGGCTGGGGCAAATCCTAGACCACCAGTTTCCCAGGGACCACCTTGCTTCCAGAGGCCTCCTTACCAGCCCAGACAAGGGCAATTTCAGTAGCCGCAGCAGCCTCTCTATCCGCCCAGACAGGGGCCAGTTCCACCTCAGTCACAGGTGCGACCATTTCATCATACAGGGGCAGCACCTGCAGCCCCAGTACAGAGTGACCCGATGGCGGAATTGAGAGATTTTGTGGGTTTTCTGGCCACCTCCAGTGCAAACAAGTTCAATAACATCGAGCAGTTCATGGAGAAAGCTTCAGGTAAATTCTTGGAGCTAGAAGCTGGTTAGAGAAACACACAGGCTGTGGTGCGGGATATACAGACCTAGCTTGGGAGTGTTGCCCAGGCTGTAGCTCAGAGGACTCCTGGTACTCTACTTGGTCAGACCATCCCTCATCCGCAGGACCCAAATGAGCACTGCAAGACCATTACTACCAGGAGTGGCAAGATGACTGCTAATCCACATGTGCGGGCACAGGAGAGAGAGACCCCTGCTTCAGCACTTCCAGCTAATGAGGAGGAAATGGAGAAGGAGGTTGAGGTGCCGGCTCCTAAACCGCAACCAGTGGTGAAGGAGTATGTACCACAGCTTTCCTTTCCTACTCGGCTGCACAAGGACCGACTGGAGACTGAGTTTGCCAAATTCATGGCAATGCTGAAGCAGGTAAACATAAGCATGCCCTTCGTGGAGGCATTATCGAAGATGCCCAAGTATGCCAAGTTCATGAAGGATCTCCTCACCAACAAGAGGAAGCTTGGGGAGCTGTCAACGGTGATGCTCAACGAGGAGTGTTCTACCATCCTGCAGAACAAACTACCAGAGAAGCGAAAAGACCCAGGGAGTTTTACTATCCCTTGCATGATTGGTAGTTTGCATGTAGGGAAGTCCTTGGCGGATTTAGGCGCTAGCATAAATGTCATGCCATATAAACTGTTTAAAAAGCTAGGCCTAGGTGAACCCAGTGATACTAGGATGAGCATTCAACTTGCTGATAGATCCATTGTGCATCCTAGGGGTATAGCAGAGGACTTGATAGTCGCAGTAGGGCCATTTTCATATCCTGTTGATTTTGTGATTTTGGACCATTGATATTGGGTAGACCTTTTCTCGCCACCGCCAAGGCGCTCATTGATGTGAATGATGGAAAACTGATTTTGCGAGCTGGGGGTGAACAAATCACCTTCTCTGTTTCTGAAAATACGAAACACCCCCAGCTCCATGATGATTTAGACTACTGTGATGTTGTTGCTGATTTTGAAACCGCACTCGCCATCACGAGTGTGGGTACTGATGATTTCCTTGAGAGTTATCTTTTGCTAGGGGGACAGGCATCACAGGATGTGCAGCTGGAGGAGCAGCTCGCGGAGCTGGACGAGGCAACGATCGAGGGGCGAGAGATACCATTCAAGCCGATCCCTATCTCGCCCCGGATCGCTACATCATTGGAGGAGCCGCCAGAGTTGGAGCTTAAACCCCTCCCTTCTCACCTGGAGTATGCATTTCTCTAGGAGGGGAATAAGCTCCCGGTCATTATCAGCTCGGATCTGACACTCGAGCAGAAGAGTAGCCTGGTGGCTCTGCTGCAGAAGTATGCCCGGGTCATGGCTTGGAAGATCACCGATATCAGAGGCATTAGCCCATCCTTCTGCTCCCACAGAATTCTGATGGAGGATGAGGTTAAGCCAGTCAGGCAGCCACAATGGAGATTGTCTCCTAACTTGGAGGCAGTGGTCCGGGCAGAGATTGTGAAGCTCATGGATGCAGGGATCATTTTTGCTATATCTGATAGCATGTGGGTCAGCCCCACTAAGGTGGTCCCGAAGAAAGGCGGGATGACTGTGGTCCCGAATGAGAAGAAAGAGTTGATCCCGATGCGGACCGTGACCGGCTAGAGAGTCTGCATAGATTACCG